AAGCAGTACCGCCATCTATCATCTTAGCGTATACAAAATATATAAATAATAAACAATAACAATCTGCAAAATACATAGACCTAAGTATTATTTATATCTTTGATTAAATACAAATATACATAGTACATAAACGTATAGTAATAATGTAGTCCTTCCGTACAAATTCAGATTACATCAGCTGGAATGAACAGATTTTATCGCCCTATTAACGCCTTAGTACCTACAATGAATTCGGTTATTTTTACACAATGTAGTAATATAGTTAGATTCAATTATCAAATATTCAGTGCGTAAAATAAAACGTACATTTTATAAAGAATTTAATGCGTTATTCGGGATCTTGATTGTTGTCATTGATTAATTTATAATTCTATTATTCTACATTGTTTATGCTCTTATTGAAAACAAATGCATCTATCTATGTATTGCAAAGAATCGAAGCCTAGAAGAAAGCTAGTATCGTAATTGGTAAATTTTTAATTAATATTATATTACATTTTTTATTTTATTTATGACTGCAAATATTTGTATTGTGAGAGGAATCGAAGATGCGACCATTGGAAGCAAGACGTTGTGCTAGACTACCGCGGCCGTGATATTTTTCATGATGACCTAAACTCTACTGATTTGATTTTCATTTTCATTTTTAATTAATGCTCTGTCCGATGGGTATGATCAGTATACGGCATTTTAATGGTAAATGCACAGAACATTAGAATTCATGTTGGCAATATTTGGTCTGTACCGTCGCGCGTCGCATCATCCCACACGATTGTCTCTGATAGCCTCATTAGGAATGGTCAAACGCCGGGGTATGACTGTCCGTGTGTAGGTAGTAATACATTTTTTATCAATTGCATGGCTTCAAAGTAGATTGATATAAATTTAAATTTTGTTTACGATTCTATGTACCTTCTAAGTTATTTTATGGACACGTCACATTTCCTAATTACCTATTATATATCCGGGGATTGTTACGGTGATCACATTGACTAGCAATAAGTAATAAATGAAGTCGACCTCCGCGGAGTAACGTCTTAAACTATCAAGATCCTAGTGAATTTACGATTATAGACTAAGTTGACTAACTTTATATGCTACCATCTTCTACTGGTGTCCCGTTAATATATAGTATAGTTAGCATAAAAGAACACCCTTTATGAATCATCGATTAAAAAAAACTACATGCTTATTAATATTATTATTATAAACTAAGTAAAAAGGTGTTGGTGGTGGACTAATAATCGAATTGCTAACAATGTACCATGTCAGATTGACTTCTATGCGAATCCCCCTGTAAACCATCAACTAGGATGTTAGGTATCTCTAACTAGGTAATGAACGCTCTTAACGATTAAGACAGCTGACAGCAGACCGCAGACATCACATAATAACATGAGATAAGGCAGTAGAATGACAGGTTATGGAGGCAAGAGTGGTACCATGGGCGTCAAATGATAACGTGATAGCTTTTTTTAAATTCTTACATTTATTTAGGGACTTTTATCATAATATGATAATGCCAGACCTATGGTATCTTATTACTATTACTCTACTCTTATCTTCTACTGTACAATGAAATTAAAAATTTAGTTGACGATGATACAGGATCAGATAGTATACTGTGGTATATACCAACATCAAGCCGATTCAGTCCAAATAGATAGCTAAACGTGATAGCTTTGGTGCTGTTCATGTACTTATATGTGTGAAGGTATTACCATCAAGGACGAGAGGATTTGCCATTTCTGTTACTTAAAATGTAGGATCATTAAATTCAATTTCGCTCAATATATCAATATACTTTCAATTTTAATTCCTGCATTTTCAATTTTATTTTACAAGATAAATTATCCCTTACGTTTGCAAATTTTTCGCGTGACTTATCACATGGGGTCATCTACTGTTGAAGAGAGGGCTGGGTTATATCTTATTTCGTTGATCTGATTTATTTTGATCGAGGGCAATGACAGTGCGCCAATAGTATTATAGCTTAGTGAAAATCACGGGGGAGTTGTAATGCTTGTCAGCTTAAAACTATTTACGTCAAGATTTGTACTGAATAGTTATATGCATTTTAATCAGAAACTCTCTTGATATTGTATAAATTAAAGAATAGAAATATTAAACCAGGATAAATCCCAGCGGCAATCAGTCCGGACTAAGTAAAGATAGACTTATAAATATATTTATACGTCTATACCATACTCATACCCATACCGTATGAATAAATTTTTTCTACATAGTTATCAAATGTATATTGAAGATACATATACATAAATGCAAATAGACATGCTCTTGAATACAAATATTATTCTAATTTGATCTGTCAATGTAATAAACCTCTTTACTACTAAGATTATTCTATTACAATTTGTGTAAAAAACAGTGTGACTAGTATTTATGAGATGAGTTATAAAAATGGGTTTCGAGTAAAGTGTGTAAAGATATATACAAAATACGCCAGTCGGGTCGGATTTGACACATAAATCATGTTGAATTTAATTTAATACTATCCAGTGAGCTACAATAAAACGCATGTTTTCAAAGAGACGTAAATAAAACGGTCTCCGTATGAAGCCATGATGAGTGTGCAGGAAGGCCATACATGGGTCGGTCAGTTTTTGTGTACAGCGGCCACCACCGTTATACTGTGCCGTGATATCACACGGCCAATTACGTTACTGCTATTCCGTAATCACGGGAACCTACAGGGTTCGTAAAAGGGGAAAACTATTGAACCAGTTCTTATATATTCCAATAAAGTTATATTTAACAATTCTGTATTCATATTACTTTTTGTTCTATGCTTAGAAGACTTTTATTTATTATAGGTATACAATTTTTTAATAAGGCCAACTCGGGTGTTTTTTCGTGAAAATTTAACAAATTCACAGACACAGACACAGATGAACTTTTGCATTTATTAGTAATTAATGTATGAATTTTGAAGATTGTAGCCTCATAAGTATAATAATAATTTGCAAAACAAGTATTTCAACACTACCATTGATTACATATTTTTAGATTTAGTTCTAATAAGAGCAGTACCAACTCTAAAATATTACGTTTATTTGGTTCCATTCGTTATTGTTATAATGAATGTAATAAATTCATTACATAATATACTAAGAACATATCTGAAGAAAAAAACTAAATATTACACGCATCTACAAAAGGAGGAGGCTGAGCTAAAAATGTACTCCTGAGTCAATCTTCCGACCCCGCCTTACCGCGTAAGACAACTTATTTTAAACCACATGATAGATTCCGTTCCAAGTTAAAGGTGTAAGTCACCTTCAAAATATGTTACGAATATTATTAGATCCTTATATATTTACATAGCTTTTGTAATAAAATTCAGAAATTAAATTTGAAAAGTCGTTTATATTAAATTGACGTTGAGATGTTGGAATGCCGGGGGCAACAGCTATTAGTATACAATATAACATTTAATATTGAATCTGTCTAAGATTTAACTAAGTATATTGCGTATAAAATATTAATAAAATATTCGCGTATATTTATACTAATTCGGGTTAAAGAACTCATATCAGTTACGATGGACCAATTCAGCTCTATTATACTTATCTTTGAACTCCTGATCTTTGGTCATTTTTATATTACTTTAGAATTTAAAAGTGATTACGCTAGTAAGTTGTTATTGTAATTACAACTAGATCAATGTTTATCAATGTTTTTTTTTTGCCTAGCCCTTTTGTATTTATATTTTCGGGTGAATGAAAGGTTCTTTATTTTATAGAAATCTATGACTGTAGTACTTGACCTGCTCATATTTAATGAGTAAATCGACTGACTTTTGTTCCCTCGAGTATTTAGTAAAATACTAATATTTACCTAAGTTCTAACTACAGACTTTGAAATTATAGACTTGAGTATGTTTATTTTAAGTGAATTCATGTAAGTGCAGGAAGATTTATGTGATGTTTGCATATTTTATGTTAGCACTTTCTGTACTGTAACTCGCCGTCTAACGCAACATACTGTTGAATATTAGATATTTTCAATCCCTTTTTATAACACCATTTTGGTAGAACGTACAATTGTAGATGCTTGATTATTTATGTACAGTTTTTAGGGATTCATATCCAAACAGTTGATTCATCATATTTAGCAATGTGTCAAAAAAAATACAATGTGCTAAAATTTATACACCTTACGTTCGATATGCAATATCTTTTAGAAGATTGTAGAAACATTTCGACACTAGTGAAATCTTTCTACAATCTCCTAAAACATCTTGCTCTGTCTAGAATTACGGTAATATAAAGCTGCACTAGCAGGCTCCTACCAAATTTGGCTGGGCAGGGAGACAAACATGAGCGGTGAATATGAGTGATGACGTAGGTTGGTAGGGAGTCTCATAAACCTACACGCGAGTTACAAGTCCCGAGAACTACTCGGAGTTTCCTTCTCTATTATAACTTTTGCAACTTATGTTCGATATGCACGAAACTTTAATTGTATATTAATGACTTATTTTGCCTATATGATGGATAGTTTTTTAATATTATATTTTATTCTCTACAGTTTGAATTTTCATTAATAACTAATTGGGAATATGTATATATTAAATGCCACTCTGGAAAAAAATCCTTTCCTCATAACAAAATGCACTTTCTTCCTATTATTAGTACAGATTAAAAATGTTTCAGTTAATGTATAAAGCTCTAGTATAAGTGACTGTTTCATGTATTTGGAAAGGCAAACAATGTAATGCCCCCCACCTGATAAGTGGTAACCGTCGCCTGTATACATGAATAGTACCACAGACATAACGTTATCATTTGACACCCGTGATAATTATGTGTAATCATTCTTAAGCACTAAGATGTCATTCCTCTTTTCCAGTAACTTCCTAGTGACATATTACAACCGAAAAGTAAGCTGCTTGGTTGAGATGTGGGATGATGTAGCCATACAAAAGACTAGTTGTCTAAAACACTTTGCATACGACGACTTATTGTTTATTATTTCAGAGGCAACAAACAACTTGGTAGCTGTTGCTGGTTCCATACCTGAGTATGGCGAGGTTGCGATTCTAGTCAGAGGACCACACGGTCTTAGTGCCAGACGAGAACAACTGTTGCATGCAAAAGGCGCGGAAGATGACGCCATATCACTCTATTATAATAAAAAGACTAATAAAGGTAAGACTTGACATTATTGTATCTGTAAATACCATATTATATCACAAATGCAAAGACTACATATTTTCATTAAAGTATTTAATAGACAAACATGATAAACGCAGCTTACTTTTGGCTAGATCGACCCTTTTTCTCATTAATACGGGAATCGAATTTACGGAGGCCTGATCTGAGATTCAAACCCGTAGCAGTGCCGATGACTATAGTCCTATTCCTAAGATAGGTGTTGGCCTTCAGCCACTCTAAAGATCCTTTACGGAGGTTTAGTTTACCCTCTGCACCCTAGTCATTCCATTTTTGTCCAGTGAATTAAAGAAAAGCTCCGGCCAACAGTATTAGAATATGGTTGGAAAAAAATCGTTTGTGGACAAAGTGGATGGTAACAAAAGTAGTTGCAAATGTTAAATAGTGTAACTGTACTGGCTAACATTAATACCATAAATTATTTGTATAGTCATAGTTAGCTCAATTTATTCCTCAAAATGTTATGAACATTTTCTTACACACATTTTAGTGTCCTTGGAGAGCCTTAATGGTGGCCACCTTAAGTCGGTATCATGGGGTCTCGGCTCCCATCCTCGAGGCACACTGATTTTGGTAGCAGCTGAAAACAGAGTCAAGCTATATGTCGGCTGCCAACCCTTGCACTGGCACGCTATCCCCAGCAAACACGATTTGATGACGTTATTCCGTAATCTAAAATTAAAATTAGTAAGTATGTTTAGATTTAATTTCTGATATAATAATAATAATAATATTAATTTGTCTCAAACAAAAACTAATACTATGGTTACTCATACAATAATAAAATTTAAAAAGAGACAAAACGGTCTATAACTCAGTGGGGGCAGTGAGTCTACCCTCTCTGCTGTTCAGTTATAGCCTTTACCAGCAAATTATTATAATAAGAGATCGACGACGACGATAGCACATTAAGTTAAGTTCTAAATTACTACTAACAATGTGAACATAAATAATCGACTTATTAGCTGCCATCACTATTCTGATCCTATCTAATAGAAATTTTTGTTAATAATAATAGAACCTAAAATCACCAAACACCGCCTAATGGTAAATGGTCAGTACACTCGAAATATCAGAATCTTCACATCGTCGTACAGCATTGTTACCTAAATAGGTATATTATATTTTGTTCTTCACGCTTCATTTAACCTAAACCTAGGAATAATAAGAACATTTATTTAGTTTTGTACACTTTTAGATTTTTATTTATTAGCATCTGTTTATATATTTCAACAACGAAACAGCACTGTATTAAGGATACTGTAGACATTACAAAACAAACCCTGCTTAGGTAAATGTTGTTGGATGTCATATAATCGATTAGTTTTTTACTATTTTGTCATTTCCTTGTTTGACATTTTGAAGAAATGAACTTATAAAAATAATGTATTCTCTTCTACTACAATCTAGTATCACGAAGAAAATGCACCAGTAGAAATCTACAGCAGTGAACGCGCAGCACTAGATTCATTAAGCTGCAGTATGAAGAAAGATTATATAAAACCACCATCATTGCTTACCGTCGATGAATCTGACGTGGAGGAAGTTAAAGACTTCATAGAGAAGACTGCTAGAGGTAAAAGGGAAGAAGAGATGCAGGGAGATGATTATAGAAATAACAATTATATTGATCCTAATGGAGTACTACCGCAGCCTAATGCTCCTAATGATCAGAGAGGAGATATACCTTCCAGTGTGATAGAAACTTGTGATGGTGAGTGTTTTTGTTAAAACAATTAACATTTCAAAAGTGATATTTATTCATCGATGTTCTGAGCCTACAGTAATATATCTTTTAATGCGCAACACAGTATAGTAGAGTAAATATTAAAGGCAAAACTTATTATAGATTTCGTATTACAGAAAATCAGAGAGTATATTTTAAATGTGTTGTCGAATATAAGTATGTCGAATATAAGTATTATATAAAAACGTTTACTTTTTTACGGGAAAATTTTATACAAATATACATATAAATATTTTGTAGTGGTCACAATAGATGACAGTAATGTTAGATTTTCATTAAAGGTTAGCATTTCTTTTTATATTATCATAGTGGGGTTTTCTAATAAATACTCCATTATTATTTACAGATGAGGTTGTAAAGCAACTGCAATTGTTAAGACAGACCATAGATCATCTCAGGCGGGAGGTCCAAGAGCAAAAAGGCGTTATAGACAACTTGAGAGGCCAACTCCGCAGTTGCTGTACCAATGTGCATCCTCAGCCGCAAGTTGAGCGGTGCTCAGACTCCACGTGTTACTCGGGTTATTAATAGCATATTTTTTTTATTATCAGTCTTTTATATTATGTTACCCTAATTAAAAAAATAATGTAATTAGGTTAAAGTATATCGTAATATACTAAACGTCTAATCAATTTGTATAATTTCTTTGTATATGAACAAAATAGACGCATTTTTGATTGTATTATTGTAGATTCTTCGCCTGTAGATATAACTTACCTCGCTAATTTAGTGAATACTTTAATTTGTACTATTGTAAATGTTTACATTATCAGAGTCAATTAGAATATTCTAGACTTTATTTTCTTTAATATAATTAATTTCTTCAGTTTCATCTATATCTTAAGATTTATTAATACATTTATTTTCATGACTCTGTGTAATTGTAGAAACTTAGATTACTTCTGCATGTTTAGTAACATTACATTCTATAAGTTCGGTTACTGATATAAGTATTAAAAAAGTAACTTTTTTAATTTAGCTAACCAATGAAATATTTAAATGCAGCAATTTAGTTCAGAAACCAGATAATAGTATATTTAAGGTAAATCAAGCAACTTTCAATGTGGGTTTGATTAAAATATTGTTTAGATTTCAAAGGACTTTTATTTCATAGATAGCGGTACCAGTATTGAAGAGACAATTGTCACGGTCCCACATATTTGTCTACAGAGTTCTGTGTTGCACCCACTTAACATTATGAATAAGTAAGTTGCTTGATTAGCCTTAAAGTACTCATAAATATTAATGATGCCGAATAATTAATGTTGTTGGGGCACTAATTACTCTGTTGGCAAATAACAAGGATTACTGACACAAACGTAGATTTAAATGAATACCACCATTCCTCTCACATAGCATGACCAATTTTTATCTCAAGTAAGCGAAAAAAGTTAACTCGGTTAATTTGGCTTTCCTGAGACTCATATTTCTTATATGAAAAGATTACTGTAATTAAGTTTTTCTACAAAAACCAAAGACCCCAGGCCTTCATGGGGTTGGATTCATTGTTAAAAATAGTTTAATTAATTACGTGGAAGAATTTATAGGTATTTCGGAACGTATTGCAATATTGAATCTGAAATTACCTGAATATAAGAACCCTGGTCTATTGTACAAATATACTCTCCAACTGAACAATCTGATCAAGAAACTATAAATAAATTCTACTTTAATCTAAACAATGCTATCCAGGAACACGGTCATAAAAACCTTATAATAATGGGAGACTGCAATGGTCAAATAGGAAAGAGACGTCCAGGAGAAGAAAAGGTACTAGGATCATACACATATAGTAGTAAAACAAGAAGTAGAAATGGAGAACAGATCATGAACTTTGCCCTTGAAAATAACCTAACCATCTTAAACACTATATTCATGAAAAATAAGAAAAATATGTGGACTTGGATCTCACCGGACAGTAAAACAAAAAATCAAATCGATTTCATAATGACTAATAAAAATAGTTATTTCTCAAATTTTTCCGTAATCAACAAATTGAACTTTAACACCAATCACAGACTAATTAGAACAGAACTGGTATTAAACGAACCAAAAAAGTCTAGACCAAGATGTGGAATAGCAAAAGTAACGATCGGAAACCATCAGACTGAACAAATAACAATTGCTCTAAGGGACAAATTCAGTGACTTTCAATCTGAAACAAAGGATTTAGGTACGCAAGACAAATACAACTGGTTAGAAAATGTAATGAAAACCCAAATACAAAAAATCGCAAATATAAAAAATGAACCAAGAAAATGGCTATCAACAAATACCATACAATTACTAGAAGAGAGAAACCACTTAATCAGCGCTCGAGGCATAAATGACAGAAGAAAATATCTAACGAAGATTAGTAAAGAAATAAAAAATAGCATAAGAAAGGACAGGAAACAAAGAAAAATGGAAATTCTAGAAAGGTATATATGGAAAACAGGCGGAGCCAAAAAAGCATACAAAGACTTGAAAAACTCAATGGACTGGATAGTTAAAATGAAAAACTATGATGGAAAATGGAACCACCGCAGAGCAGACATTCTGGAAATAGCCACATCTTATTACAAGAAACTGTACAAAGGGGACATCACGGAAGGTGGAATCGATCTGGTCGGTACCACAAGCGTTCCTAGTATTCTTAGAGCAGAAGTCGAAAAGGCTATAGTTACCCAGAGATTAGATAAAACACCGGGTCCCGATGGCATAAGTAACGAATTCCTAAAATATGACAAGGAAATCTTAATACCAGCCCTCACTGATATGTTTAACACTATATTAGAAACTGAAATAATACCTCAACAATGGACAGAATCTAACATTATCCTGTTATATAAGAAAGGAGATAAATTCGAAATAGGAAACTATCGCCCTATCAGCCTTATGTCAAACATTTACAAAATCTTCGCCAAGGTCATTTTAAAACGACTTGAAAGAACGCTAGACGAACATCAACCGATAGAACAGGCTGGATTTCGTAAGGGTTACTCTGTCATTGATCATATCCATGTAGTTCGTCAAATTTTAGAGAAGTACAAAGAATATCAACTTACATACTATATTGCATTTGTCGACTACAGCAAAGCATTTGACTCTCTGCTACACAAAAATATATGGGAAACATTAGCGGAACAAGGGGTTGAGCACAAATACATCAGATTAATAAAGAATGTATATATTCATAGTACAGCTAGGATCCAGCTAGACAAGAAAGGTCATTCATTTAATGTTGGCAAAGGCGTTAGACAAGGAGACCCCCTATCTCCAAAAATATTTTCAGCTGTTTTGGAATCAGTTTTCAGAAAAATCAAATGGAAAAATTTTGGTATCATGGTAAACGGCGAATCTTTAACACATCTGAGATTCGCTGATGACATAGTACTATTCGCTGAAACATCTAAAGAGATTAATGCTATGATCGCAGATCTTGCCATAGAAAGTAAGAAAGTAGGCTTAACACTGAACCCAGAAAAAACTAGAGTGATGACAAATGGAACTAAAGACACGATACTCTTAGGTAACTCTGAAATAAATTATACTGATGAATACATCTATTTAGGACAGCTTATAACTCAAGAACAACCGATGCATGAAGAAGTAAAGAGAAGAATTACTAACAGCTGGAGTAAATATTGGAGCATGAGAGAGGTTATGAAAGATAAAAAACTTCATATTAGTATTAAAACCAAACTATTTAACACCTGCATTTTACCCGTCCTTATGTATGGATGCCAATCATGGACTTTAAGTCATGAAATGACAAGTAAACTCGCAAGTTGTCAACACGCTATGGAAAGGAGTATGCTGAATGTCAAGAGATCAGACAGACTGAAAAACTACATCATCCGGAATAAAACAAAAGTTACAGATATAAATTTGAAAATTAAAAGACTCAAATGGAGATGGGCAGGTCACATAATAAGAGGAGATGATAAATGGAGTAAGAAAGTGACAAGATGGTATCCCAGGGAAGGAAAAAGGAAAAGAGGCAGACCCCACACAAGATGGGATGATGATATTAGGACAGTGGCAGGAGTAATGTGGAACAGGGTGGCACAAGAAAGAGAAGAATGGAAACGATTGGAGGAGGCCTTTGCCGATTGGCAAACAGATCTACAGACATTAAAAAAGATCCAAATAATAGAATAACTATTTTCGTTTTAAGTTTTAAAGCTTTGTTTGTTTGTTTTAAAATAATGTATAAGTTGAATCTGAATAAAGGCTATAATATAATATATAATATATACAAAAACTTCAATTGTAACAAAAATATTTAGAAGACAAGACAACCTGACTAATGTGAAATGTGCTCTGAAACAGAGTATTCAATATCAGAATTATTATTATTTAGGTACACTACATTTTCTTAGCTTTTGCTGGCGTATTATTATTATTACAATTGGAGATTTGTTTTCATAAGTCAACCTTATCCATTTTGTATTGTCAGTTTGATAAAAACAGAATTGATATTACATTAGAAATATGGGTTTCAGCTTCATAGAATACGTATAGAACTACATACGTACTCTATTTTATTAGTATACTATTTTATTTTTACCTATGGTATATACTACTATACTAGTTATCGTGTAAGAACTGTAAGTTCGTATCAAAAGAATTAAGCTTATATGAAATTATGTTCACGGGTGACAAAAATATATTTATTAAGTAAACGTATACTGACGAGTGAAATAGTCAAGTTACTCTAAAGAATATTTCTTAAATTATAGACGAAAAGCCAAACTCTTTCATAAAAAAAAAATCCCAAAATCCATTAACTAAGTCAATAGTTTAATTTATAAACTTCATTTTGGATTCTATCGTGTACTGAAACTTTAAGCATAATTTTTCTCATAACTTGTTGAATGATTTGATCCTTTATCGCCTTCACATATAAAATCTCGTTTGGATTCTGCGAGTGTCTTCCTATATATTCGTGTAAGGCATAGTTGTTGTGCGTAGGCGTAATCGTATAAAATACTTATAGAAAGATTTATGTCATCTCTACCGTGCATTCTGTAAGGTTACGCCTACGCTCCGACCCCTGTATGAAAGCATTAAGTCATACGTCACATGCCCTGATTAAGGACTTTTACCTTCGATTTTAGAGGTATTATGATTGCAAACATATTTTCGAAAGGTTTCTTAATCGATTCTGATATTCTATTGACCTTAACATTCTCCAAAGAAGCAAGTGCAACATTGTATCCTTATCCCAGTATCCAATAATGCAGAAGGTAATTATAATGATCAGGTGCTATCTTTGATAATGGGATAATAAGTATAGACTATAAGTCTTCCCTTACATAGACCGAGGGAGAATATTATTAGAATCGGAACTGTTGGCCTAACTGTTCGCAATAATTGCCAACAATTGGGCCGACAGTTTAAGTTGGTCTGCTCCCAGTCTCCCTGGAAACCATCGTTGTTAACATCTAGCCAATTGGTCACGGTGAGCTAACTGATCTAATTTAATTCTTATGCCATAATACTTATTTAGTGTCCTAGTGGAAGCAATTCCTTCGCTATGCATTAAAGAAAGACTTCGTTAGAACATAGATTATTGGAATGAAGACAAATGTTCCACGAACAGGTGTGCAATGCCGTAACACGGCGTCTGGTCCGGAGTGCGGTTCGTGTCCGAGCGGAATGGAGGGTGACGGTCGTCGCTGCAGGCCGATTCAGTGTGACAGGAGACCATGCTCTAGAGGTTAGTCATACAATTATTTTTTGGACAAACAAACATAGAACTCGCCTGGAAGATTAGTATAAAGCGTTTTTGTCCGAAAAATATCAAAAGTGTACGGGGACCCGAATAGTATGGCATACATTTTTATATTCCTATTATTTTGCACATGTTACTACACGTTCCCTACGTGTAGTAACATGTATGTTTGCAAGTTCCCTAGTTTCTAAACGATAGCTGCCAGTTCCTGATTAACGTATGTAATTATTGGTAATTCACAATAGTGAGGGAAAGATAGATAAGAGAAAAAATATACACTACAAATAAAGCTTTGTCCCAGATCGTCACATTTATTTCTGTATGTTAAGTAAGGCCTGGTTGGCACTTATGTATAATCATCCTTTTATGGGAAGTGATCTGTACCCAATAGTGAACGGTAAAAGCTTCTTGGAACTGAGAAATAATAAATAGCTGTGTTTATTCAACGACGTTTATTCGCAGACAAAAGACAGAACAAAGAAAACATTTTATACAGGAATATTCGAATAATGGAATATAAAAATAACTTCAAAGTTTGCAATGTGCTCCTGACATGCTAGGTCTTATGCTAGACTACTATTTTTACAAGGAGTCTTTTTAACCTTAGCTACTTAGATTAAACTGCAGTAGATTTTAATCACTGTCCTTTACCTGGTAAAGTATCTCTATGTATCTACGTAAGTATATTAATATCTCTCCATTTAAATTGAAAGACAAGTTTACCTTCAAAGTTATCTTTCAATTTAGACGTAGAGATATTGCTGTAAAATTTGGTAGTACACTGTTGGGTATCTGGGGCGTTACATGTATACAATAGGTGACCCTTGTCATTTACCATAAGGTGAGCCGCTTGTTAGCCATCCCATTGCGTAAAGAAAAATTTCTGTTTTTTTCTTTAGCGGAGTATTGTATAGACACTGAGGAAGGATATCGCTGTCAGAGATGCCCTGGAAGGCAAACTAGTGATGGACAGACGTGTCTCTCCGCTTGTAGCTCCAATCCTTGCTTTAGAGGACGTAAGTATAACTACACGTATTAGTGTGAAATTGAAGAATATATAATTATAATTGAGTTTATATATTAAATTGTATCATTTTAAAGTACAGATATATGAGAAATTCTAGAACAGCTAAAGTTGTTACATACAATGATTTAATTAGCTTTTCATAGAATTTTGTTAATATCCTTCTTTACTTGGATGGCCTCTATAGTGTGGAAATTTAGCAAAGCCCTACTTCTCAGGGTTAGGGCAAGTTTTATTCTCGCACAAAAGAAACATTTTTATTCATAAGTATGATTGTTTGTATTGATCTAAGTGTTCATGTATTCGACTATTACGTTCGTACTTACAAATTTAATTTAATTGTGCTTGTTCCTATAATGCTATATGATTTGCTCTGGTTTTTATTGTTGAATTAGATTTTAAAGTATTATAACATTGTTATTACAGATGTGCAATGTCAAGATCTGCCAGACGGTGGTTACCGCTGCGGGCCGTGTCCGAGTGGTTACCACGGCAACGGAGAACAGTGCTACAGGCGCTCCTGCAGTCAGATCTCATGTTTTGAGGGTAAATAAGTGTATAATTGATATGTACTTAGGTATATATGCCAGACGTGGCATGGTTGCAATATACAGATGAATATTGGCAGACCAGTGTACGAGACTATCTATAACTATAATTCATATTCGTACAATAATTTGGATATACTCATATTTTAGAATGCTTTTTTATTATGTATTATATACTATATTTATTATATATTATATATGATTGACATTTTATAAACATTTTTAATTCTTATAAAAATATTAAGAGCATCGTATCCCAGTAGTATTTTACGACTTTGGTCAAAAAGGCCGTGAGTTTAAATCTAGCCAACAAGAACACTACGTGTACAAAGATAGATATTTGAAGGAAAATCAGATCCTAACAATATGTGCTTTTTGCGCGCCTTTATTTGTATTGCCTTAAATTATATCCATATTAATATTTAAAATACTTGTTTAAAAGTTAAAAGGTCTGTCGACCCATATCTGTCTCTCTATTACCGCTTCTGATCTTTTCTTGCTGAGCGGAATTCAATGAAATTTAAAGTGACGATAAATTAGGTTTAGATAGAGCAAATCAAATCAAATCAAATCAAAATATCTTTATTAATGGAGGTCTATTACAGACTCTTATGATGTTAAATCTAAAGATATCTATTTTATTATAAAAAAATGTCATACGGATCTCGTGTAAAATACTTAGTCATTAATTATCCCAATTATAAACCAATACACGGTGGTACCGTTTAGAATTGCGTAAATTAAAACTACGCAACGGATTTTGAAGCGGTTTTTGAAATAGATAGTGATTCAAGAGGAAGGTTTATATGTATAATACATGTACATTCGTGCGAAGACGGGGTCGGTAGCTAGTTAGTTAGTTAGTTATAAGTAAAATACATAACTTCCTCAGGAGTGGAATGTGAGGAGTCACAAGAGGGTCCGCGGTGTGGATCTTGTCCAAGTGGGTACAGCGGCGATGGTCAACGGTGTGACCACGTGTGCGATACACACAGACCATGTGGCGAACGACCCTGTAAGCAGATCTCAAGCAGCCCCTACTACGAGTGTGAAGATTGCCCTGAAGGATACAAATGGCATGGTAATGATTTTTATTAATTCGATTTTATATTTAAATCTTATTTATAAACACGAAAGTTTGTGGGTATAGATGGATATTTGTTACTCTTTCACGCAAAAACTTCTGAACGAATTCTGATGAAACTTTACTGTAATATAGTTTATACATCAAAATAACATATAGGCTATAAATTTTATGTGAGTGAAACCGCGGGAACAGCTGGTAGTGTATAATGTTATGATCTGATATAATTAATTATATGTTATTGCACAAAATAATTAAATTAGTAAATATAAATTGACTGATATAATCTTCCAGAATACCTCGGGAAGGATAAGAAAAGGCTAGGTGGTGCATGTAATGCATGTAAAATAAAGATAGATATTATATTAAAAATATATCTTCTTATATAAATATAAAATTATCCTGTCAAAACGTTAGTTACTATACTCCTCCGAAACGGCTTGACTGGTTTTTATGAAATTTAATATGCATATTCAGTAGGCCTGAGAATCGGCTACTATCTATAATATTTTTCATACCCCTAAGTGATAAGGGTTGTCCACCCCTAACATATTTTTTAAATGTTTTGGATACAATTTTATTTTTTTAAATTAATATTTCACCAACTAATATTAATAGCGATTTTAATTTATATAGCAAAACATCGTTTGCGGGGTCAGCTAGTATATCAAAATATATTCTAGTAATCTTGTAAACAAATTGCTTGCCATTGAATCGTAAGAAGATTACAATATTCATCGTTAATATCGCCGGCAGACTACACGTGCGTGGACGTGGACGAGTGCGACCTGTACAGTCCGTGCGACGAGCTGGTGTCGTGTCGTAACGAGGAGGGTGGGTTCAGCTGCGGGCCGTGCCCGGCCGGGTACCGGGGCGCGGGGTGGCGGGGAGCGGGGTCGGACCGCCTGCGCGAGCGTTGCCGAGATGTTGACGAGTGCGCCTCCAGTCGGGACCTCTGTGACCCGCACCGGCTGTGCGTCAACACGCCAGTATGTACCTCTCAAATTCTCTTACAGTTATGTAGTTATTGGTTTTAGGGTAGGTACAATTGGACTGATATACGCACCGCTGTAATACTTTGTCACAAGTGATGTTATTGGTTTTGATGTGCAATGGAACTAGCACATACTGTACTGCTCTAATAAACTAACAGTGATGTAGTTACTTGTAAAGGGACTTTTAGTTTGTACAATAGTACCTAAATTTCAAAGACAAAAAGTAGTTATTAGTTTTAGGGAACAGCGGGACAGGCATGGGTTTTTAGTTTCTTCAAAATTCCCTAAACTTTAACTAACGAAAAAAGTGGTCCTTACTTCTTAGGTAAAATGCTGGCATGTACTTTTAATTTGTACAAAGTTACAAAGAATTAAAAAATTACTTTAAAACTATATTTTTAAATATGACGCAATGCGTTATTGTGTATCATGTATTTTACTTAGTAACTTAAGGGCCACATTTAAAATATTTCCTGTTCATATCAGGGTTCATACACGTGCGTGCCATGCAGTGGAAACTACTACATGAACACTTCAAGACCCTGCTTCGAGCCACAGCCGCTGCGGTACTGCGACCCTGAGTACTGCCAGCGATACAACGCCGTTTGCGGTTACGGACAGAAATGCGTTTGTGCGGTGAGTTTCTATAGTGTAGAAAATGGGTCTATATTGTATTGTATGCTGCAACACCGACCACGGCAATATAACTGTTCCGCTTACACAACGCCAAGGTGCAGCTCAATGTCGACTACATACGAAGCAGGAGTAACCTGCCATTAAGTTGAGTCACAATGCGAGTTTCAAGGCGTTCGTGGCCCGGGTGTTGCCCACCTTTATGAAGGAGGATCACTGGCCGAAATGGTGGTGTTTCGACGTTATCGTGGTAGATTACCGTCATCAGTGCCGTGACCACAGAGACACTATATATTAATGTTATTATATTAATTAATATGTATGTTATTAGTATAAGGTATTTGTAATATTAGTAGATTATTATTGCGCCATTAGTAGACTGAAATAGTCATATAGCAATAGCCATAGACATTAGGCTATCTATGATACTTGTATCATAAAGTGTGGAGTTGAATCGAGTTTATTAACATATGAATTTAAATAGGCACCAATTGCCACTTTGCCGGAAAGACAAGTATCAGGATTTGGCGCGAAAGACGATGTCCTAACTAAAACAATATAACATGGCACGAATAATTTAGATAAATGTGTTGTTTTTCTAGACTGGTTGGGCGGGCAATGGAACAGTCTGCGGCCCGGACCGAGACTTGGACGGTTATCCGGATCAACAGTTGCGGTGCTACGAGACTCACTGCAAGGCGGATAATTGTCCGGAAGTGTCCAATTCCGGACAAGAGGACGCAGATGGTGATGGCTTGGGCGACTCCTGTGATCCGGATGCTGATGGCGACGAGATTCCTAATCACCCGGTAATTTTTCAAAACATATTTTCTATATATGTTTGTCAATGTACGTAAGTTGTTTTTAGTACTGTATTTTAAAAGTAATACGTCATGATCATATAGACTGACTTTGTTGCGCTGTCTATCTGTCATAATGTCTATTTTTTATATTTTCATTAACATAGATTCCTGATGATTTTTGAATATTAATATTTTTTAGTTTAATTTTCCATATTAATCAAATAGTTTCTATATTAATCTAAAATATGCTTTTAATAGGTTTACCGCCAGACAAAGTCCAATTTATAATTTGCAAATCTAATTCATTTTTGTTGAACTAAATTTTACACTTTAATTTTTACACTGCATTCAGGATAATTGTCCCCTGGTGGCAAACCCTGACCAATTGGACCGCGATGACGACAAAAGTGATAGACGCGGCGACGTGTGTGACAACTGTCCAAGGAAGTACAACCCCGACCAGCTGGACACGGACGGGGATGGGCTGGGCGATGTATGCGATCCTGATATGGACAATGATGGTAAGTTTTTTTTGTAATTGGAATGATAAACAAGCTGACGGCCTACCTGATGATAAGCTAAACACTATGGTAGCTCACTCGGCTCAGTCATTATCATCATCTATCACCACCTGCTCCTTCCTTATACCATTAGTTTGGAGTCGGCGTAATATATATTTCTCTTCCATTCATCCCTATTTCATAGTCATCTCGTTGTACTCCTTTGCTTACGCCATAATTTCTTTAAAATATTCCTATGAGAGATAATTGGTACTACATCATAAATGTATTATAGTACAAGGCGTTTGTACTGTACGCAGGATTGCACGAGCAGGAAGTACGCGCTCGCTCGAACTAGTTCTCCTTTTCTATCTCTACACACGCTCTTTCCAGCATGAAAGCCAGATCGCACATATAAAGGCAACTACTTACATGTATGTTTGTTTCAGGAATATCGAATGAGCGAGACAACTGTCCTCGTGCGTACAACCCGCGACAGGAGGACACGGACGGCGACAGCGCCGGCGACGCGTGCGACAACTGCCCGCGCGTGCCCAACGTGCAGCAGACCGACACCGACAACGACGGCGTCGGGGACGCCTGCGACAGCGACCTCGACCGCGACCTGTCAGTACCACGACCATGTGTAGCGTATCATACTAGTGGCGTAAAGTAAACTGGGGGCTTCATCAAACTAATCTATGATACATCACACCATACCATGTATAGCGTGTATTATAGTAATGACGTAAAGTAAACTAGGGACATCATCGACCTAATAGAATCCAAAATAATGATGGTTCAAAATTTTGTCCATGTGTTAGAGGGTGCTAGTATCAAAAACAGCTTAATTGATTTGGTCATAGCGACTCTAGGACAGCACACCATAAATCACCATACCATGTTTAGCGTATTATAGTAATGACGTAAAGTAAACTAGGGGCTTCATCAACCTAATAAAATCCTAAAAAAACTATCCCGATAAAGTTCTAATGAATATGCCACAACGGGCTAACTGACCTGACCATGTTATCATCTTCCACTGAGGCCCCCCAGCGTAAACCGGTTAGCGCAGGTGGATGCACCACCATTTCATTATCTTCGATAAGAAGGCAACTCATAGTATCCCTGGCATCACATGATAAAGTGATGTCGTAGTGCTGCATGTACTTAGGTGACGGGTACCTATCACTTACCATCAAGTGGGCATCTATACATTTGCATAAAAAAATTTGAATAAAATAAACTCGGTTGCTGTTCCCCTGCCCGTCTAGACAGATGGGTCATCTACTACGGTTAGAATAATTAGATATGCATAATTGTGAATGCAAATCGAACTTGAATGATAATTCCAATAGATAGCTTTCTAACTGAAGTATCAATTATACATTCAATTTGGATTTGTAATATTCTATAAGTAAACTCAATTAAGTCAGATCCTAAGTCTTTGAGAGACTGGCAACCTTCAAATTTCAATTTACCCCTACTTATTTCTTATGTCTAGTTCACTAATAGTAAGTATACAGATATATTTATGTATATTTTTTCTCTTATGGATGACAATGGAATGGTGTGGCCTGCGCTAACGATTTACGCCAGTGAGGTCAGGTCAATATGAGCCCATCGTGGTAAGTTCACCTTGAATTTATCACGATGGTTTCCAGGGGGAATCACGTAGTGGTCAATCTGACATAGTACATTGCTAGCAATAGAGTTATTAGTCCACAAAACTAACAATTCCCATCCCCTTATATTTATATATCTTATTGCACCAAGATACAGAAAAAATACTAAAATAACCAAATTGCTTTTATAAGCAATTTCTTATAGACAGCCTTCAGTTAGAATAAATCCTCTTATTAATTGTCTAGTGACGGCATCCAAGACGGCATGGACAACTGTCCGACGGTGCCGAACAGTGACCAGCATAACGTGGATGGTGATGAATTGGGCGACGCGTGTGATGATGACGATGATGGTGATGGTATCCCGGACTCGCAGGACAACTGCCCGCTCGTCCCCAATACTGACCAGACGGATTCCAACAGTATGTAGTTATTGAATCTATATGCAGTTTCGATAACACTGTGAGGTTAATAATAATAACAATGATGAAGAATGAATGATGAAAAAATAATGCTGATGATCACACATAGTTATTTAGACAGAGATATTTAAATATATTTTTTAATACTTACATAAAGTATAGAAAATACCCAGTCAAATAATATAAAGAAAACTACAATCAATCATACTTATGAATAATACTTATAATAACAAGTGTTTATACCCTGTAAGGATGCGAATCCGTCACAACCGTAAATAAGTCGGTATGCTCAACAGCTAGATCGATCGAATTCGAAAATCAGTAATTGCCATTCTGATGACAATACCAATACATTAATATACTAACTGTTTTATGCATAGGATTTTTTTATAAAAGTTAGGCTGAACCGTGATGTAACTTTTAAAGAAATATTAATAATGAGAATGATGTTAGCCTAGTATTACAATAATGATGATATCAGTCTACGACCTGCTGCGTATTATTTTGATTTATTTCGAGATTCCTTCTGTATGTAATAGAGTTAATCTTTGTTTCCCTAGACCGCTTATTCTTAAGAAGAAAATAAATGGTAGAGTAGACAAATTGCATTATACCAGTGAAAATTGTATACTTACTATTTGTATGCATGACCGTAATCTGTGTTGGGATGATCTCAGAGGTAAAGGCAACGTTTGTTATAGCCATATTTCACAGAGAATAATTTAAAACCAATTTGACAGGGGGCGAACTTTCTACTATTTTTCAGAGTTCGTTCATTGAATATTTTCATCATCTTAGTATAATAACTATTATATTACTCATAAATTATTGTATGTTTCTAGATGATTTCATCGGCGACGCTTGCGCGGATGACTATGATGGTGATAAAGTTATAAACGAACTGGACAACTGCCCCAACAATTCCCTTATACACCGCACCGATTTCAGGTAAATAAGTGTATTATGATGAATGTCTACACACTGGTAGGCTGTCAAGAATGAGGTACTGGTAAATTCGCCACGATGGCCTGACTGATGTAATTTCTCCCTATCGTTTTACATTCGTATTACACCAACCATTGGCGTGGGCGGTTGAAGAGGATAGAAGACAGAAGATAGGCAGAAGAAGATAGTAATAATAATGTAGAAATTGTATAGTTTGGAGTAGTTAACGAAATTATAAAAGTCGATTGATGTAATATTACAATTGTGAGAGATATGTTTGAGAAACGCTAAATTAAAACAAAGGATTCTAGAGATTGACGAGTTATAAGTATAGGTTAATACTTAGTATGAACCAAAGAACAATGAATAATGTACCTACAAGTGATTGAATATAAAGATCATTATCATTTAATAAATTATAATATAATATAACTTTAACGAAGTCTCAATCATATGAAAATCTTTATGCAAATTAGATACTGTGATAGACAAACAGATTTACGTAACGATACTCTTATAAAGGTCTTTAGAATATTTTAGGATCAATCCGAAGTAACTGTTTAGAGAGGATTTTGAGGATAATAATTTCAGGCAACAGTTTCTTTTATTATACGAGATTTACATAGTAACAATGTCTACTCAAGCTTCAACTAATGTATGAAAATCAATATTTGTTATTATGTTCTAACACTAATATGGTTATTGCTCTTAAATATCTTCGTATTTTAGTGCTACCGTCAGCTTTATTGTATGAAATCTTTGTAAACTTACTGTTTGGATACATTTTCTTTGGTTTTAAATACTTTTGTAGGGTCCTTTCCGATATTTTTTTACGGCCCTAAGATAGTATAATTATGGCATTGATTGAAGTGTTTATGTTCGTTAAATTTTAGAAAATACATGACTGTACGCCTGGATCCTGAGGGTGAATCTCAACAGGACCCAAATTGGGGAGTTGGAAACGAAGGCGCTGAGATCCTTCAGACCTTGAACTCTGATCCTGGATTAGCGGTTGGATTCGAATACTTCGGTGGTATAGACTTCGAGGGAACACTGTTCGTTGATACTCAGATCGACGATGATTACGTTGGATTCATTTTCGGGTAAGTTGTTATTTGAATTCAAATTATTTAGACTTTATATATACTTTCGTTTAATTTAATTTATAATTCTATTGTTAAGGGTTTATTTTGTATTTTCATTTTGTAACATTTGTTTATAGCTACCAGAACAATAAGCGGTTCTACGTCGTGATGTGGAAGAAGAACTCGCAGACGTACTGGCAGACAACGCCGTTCCGGGCCGTCGCCGAGCCTGGCATACAACTCAAGCTAGTCAACTCCAAGACAGGCCCCGGGAAAACATTGAGAAATGCTCTTTGGAACACTGAATCTACACCGGACCAGGTAGCTACCGTTATTGTGATCTCGTAATGTCCTACTGTTAGTTATGCCTTGGTGTGTTCCATATTAAAGAATCAATCTTCAATCAATCAACCAAAGATGCTATCACGTCTAGCTAGTCTGGTTTGTAACTAAATAAATTAAACAGTTCAAAAACTTTGTCGTCAATCTACTACACAAGTACAAATCTATTTCTACTAATGCCTTTAAATATTTTATCTAGGTGACTCTTCTATGGAAGGACCCACGCAATGTAGGTTGGAAGGAGAAGACAGCGTACCGCTGGCGGTTGCTCCACCGTCCCAAGATCGGTCTCATCCGGCTGAAGGTGTACGAAAACAACCGGCTGGTTGCCGATTCCCGTAACGTGTACGACTTCACTCTGCGAGGTGGCAGACTGGGGGTGTTCTGTTTCTCACAGGAAATGATTATCTGGTCCAACTTGGTCTACAGGTGTAATGGTAAGTGATTTGATATTATACTCTACCCTCATAACCATAAAAATGTTATAGTCGAATTAACATATTTAAATAAATCTATGCAAATGAAGAATTTAGTTCAACTGAATGAAACATGAAACGACGTGCCACCTTCGTAGTCGATGGTTTTAATGTTTAAGCGTAAAAAGATTAATAATAATTATAACTTTTTATTCAGCTTACATATCATAGCGTGATATAATGTGAAAAGTATTAAATAACTTAAAACCTGATATTGTGCTATAAGCTGAAAGGGCCTCCACTCGGCAGTGCAGCAGCTTAGCTTTTAGGTTGTGTTTTTTATGTAACACTTCCTGCATGCTTCGCGTTTGTCTTCCTGATAAAATGTCCTGTAGTAAAATGTTCTAAGGAGATGGACTGAAGAAAGTAATTTGTTTGGGTAATTCAGTTTCGCCTATTTCAGCCATCAAACAGCTTTGTTGGCTGTATTTATGTTGTAAAATACAGATTAGGCAGTAAAGTTACAGGATGACATTTTAGTACTCCGGAATTGCTAGTTCATGAAATCACGTGTGTCATGATAATGTATGTCCATAGTGCTGTTCATGTACATATATAAATATATATATCATATGCCATGTAGGTGAAAACGTGAAATATAAAGGAGAAAAAAAAATGAGAATAATATATCTCACTAAATAACATCTTATTTAGTGAGAAATCTTATTCTTTTTTTACTATAGAACGTGGACATAAACTGTTTTTAATATATATATGTAGATGATGATAAAGTTTACCAGCAGGTGGACTTTTGTTACATTATTTTTATATATAAGAATACAGATATTACTATTTTCTCAAATACAGTGAGTATGTACTTTGTATAGGAGAGCTGTCTCTCCTATATAAAGCAACGCTTTCCAGAGTACACTCTGGACCACTGTAAAATAGCTTGTACATAGTCTTCAATTAGCAATCTCTACCTATTTTTCTAAAAAAAAATATAATGTCTCTATCTAATTGCTAAGATTTTTTTATTTACAGATAAAATCCCATCAAACATTGTGTCCGAGATACCAGATCAGCTTCTCAAGAAATTAGAAGTGGATCACGATTTTTATTACGCTTAAATATAGTTAATATAGTTTTATATATCATTATTAAAGTTGTAAATTAATAATAAAATAAGGAATAAACGTATTTGAATGACCAGTGCATTTTGTTACATATAGTTTATATTTGAAAGATAGAGATGAAATATTTTAATAGTAAAGCTGTATTAGTTAGGTGCGATTGAATAAGATGGATAAACAGTAGATTACTAATAGTATATAGAATATATTATTATTGTTTAAAATTAAAAAATGTTCATTGTGATTATTTATAATGTATCACTTTTATTGTACACTGCGTGCACTTCAGCATGCTGTGTATAACAATTGACATTTTATCACTTTCAAACTACGTAATGTAACTACCATTTGACATTGTCTCACACGCACTTCGTATTCAACAATCAATTCTTTCTTTTTAATTTAAAATACTTTTTCATTGATGTTATAGTGATTTGTATGCTCGTCACCCAATATTATGTTTGACACTTGGCGTATGGTAATATAATATTAGTTGAATAATAATTGTGTGAAAGGCCTGAATTTTGTTGTAATATACTTTATTTGTATTTGAATATATGATTTTTAAATTCAATTTCAGCATATGTACAATAAAAAGTATTTGTATGTGTGTTATATATGCTACAGTTTGTTAAAATAAATTTGTAAGTGTGAGAGCAGTCAGGAAACGAATTTATTATAAATTTTAGTGTAATAGCTATAACCCGAGCGTGGTATAATAGTGCGGATGACAGTTGACATTTTGACACTTCTAGTGCGAATATACCGCAAGTGTTGATTGAAATATTAATAACATAATCAAGTTATGCCTGAAATTGATAATAATCTCTGAGCTACGTGCTATGTTATATTGACAATGATTGTACAGAAGACAGTGAAGTTGTTTGAATATTAGGAACAACATATTAAATTATAATGCTTGCTATTATAATTTAATATGTTGTTATAGAATAGACTATTACACATTCAGTTGATATTTTGCAATTTGAAACTTTATTCATTCTTACAACGTACGGGAAGTTCAAGAAATTACTGTTTTTCTCTTCTTTTATTTCGATATGAACAAACATACAATGTTTTTAATACATAGGTACCTAATGTATTTTCAGATATTAATTATATGATATGTTAAGTTATACCTGCATTGTAATGTAACATAAAAATATTACTACTTATTTCTTTAATTGTGTTGTTTTATTGTATTATTAATAAAAAACAAAATATATAATATTAAACACGAAAATAATAAAACTCGCTAAATAAGATTTATTATTCTCGTGTTTCATTAAATTATTATTCTTAACATAACTTACAACGATCTAGGCCTGAAAAAAATTTTACAGTTAAAATAATACTGCTAGTTCATTCCTCATAGAATTAAACCATAGAACTAATACCAAGGCATGAAACCAACAAAAAAATTACATCCAAATTTTAGCGACAGATTAGATTATAAATTTTGCATTCAGAACTAATACGAAAGAATGTTTTTTTGTCTTTAGAATAGGCCATCATGATCATAAGTTTTTTAAAAGAAAGAAGAAAATCAGGTTTTAATAAAAAATATAGGTCAAATATATTGTTATAAAAATTCACCAAATTAAAAACAAATTGACAGAAGTCGAAAGAATTTTGTTTTTTATATTTAGACGATTGTGACACTTGATTTTGAGGAATGTTTACCTTATATCGGTAATTATTTTATCTGTTTGTATTAGCATTTATTTTGTATTCATGGATTTAAGAGAGAACAAACAAGAGTTAACACATAATCCTAATGAACATATACCTGTGAACGAAGATACAACAGACGCTGAGGAAATGGAGGTACAAACTTTAGTCAGCGATAGCAATATACAATTGACTAAAGATCAAATATCGACTATTATAGGAACCGTTGACACTAATACAATCTCGAAACCAACAAGCTCTCTTAACATGAGAAATGGCCTTGGCGTGAATTCTAAAGGCACTGAAGTTCTAGCGACATCTAGTAAAAGTGCTGTCAAAAAAGTACATAATAAGACGCTTAAATTGGGGTTTGTCAGAATTTTGAGGCCGTTATTACCGAGAAAATCTAAAGAGAAAGCAAGAATACTCATTAGGAATATAATTAAACAAGTTGTATCACCGATGGCTGTGGTAATGGTGAGAAAAATTAAAAAACGGCGACATGTCCGAAAGGTAAAACGAATTTTTTCAGAGAAGAATAATAGACGAACGAAATCTTTGTTCACCATTCATAAAAGATCTATTAATAAAGTGAGAAATTCCGAATCGTCTTTATCAGATGGATTTTGTTCGCTCTGTGGCCACAGTGGCTGTGATCGATAAATAATTCCTGTCACCATGATTTTGATATATATCCCATAAATAAGATTTTTGTTATACTCTGTTTAATACAATTGATTATGTTAAATTTTAAATATATTGTTTCTGAAATAAAATATCATTTTAGTTTGTTCTCTTGTAGTCAAAATCTGTCTTGGATTGAAACACTGGGCTTTAGGTTTAAGATTTAGGTATGGTATATACCCAAATCTTGTATTAAGTGATCTAGTATTAATAATATATTTATGAAGTTAAATAACTGTCCTTTTGCCGACTAATAAAGGTGCATCCGTTGGGAAAATGTAGCTATCCATTCTCCGACAATATGCAAGATGTACTACATATGTATATACAGTCTTTGAGACAGGAAATACAGAAATAGTACATCATCTCAAATGAAACAGTTTAAATATTGCTGTTATACAAACCGCATTAGTTTAGGCTAAATTAAAAACATTAACATGTTTTTTATACTACAGATAATAATAATAGTAATATTTTTTTCCTACGGTAGAAATAGATACAGTTTTGTTAAGGTTTTTATTTTTGTTACGTAAAAGCCTTGCTAGTCCAGTGGTTTAGTACACCGCACAACTTCTGATAATTGCGAGTTCGATTCCTTGCACGACGCAAACAATTGTATTCATGAATATCTTTGTCTGGATGGCTTCGAGTATTATCTATGATATAAGTAATATATTTATATGTCAATTTTAATCATTGTTTACAGCTACCATATTTCTATTACTTTCCAAGTACCATATCCATAATAATAGCATCCATAATAAAAGCTTTGTTTAGCATGGGATTAGGTAGCGCTGTGTGAGTTATCCAGGGTAGGCTAAAATGTGTCTGTATAATTGATAAGGTACTAAAAGTTTCCGATAAATTAATTTGATATATGTAACTTCTACATACATTATACATATAGTAATGTTAACTGTAACGTTAATTATATATAATTAGTTAAGGATACACCTACTTCTTAGTGTATTCCTACTATAAATATGTGTTTTTTACTCTTCCTTAACTGTTGTTAAGGAAGAGTAAAAAACCTTGTAACCACAGATAATATATTACATACGGTAGTCACCATTAATGAAAGAAGAAATTTGTCCGTAACTTGCGGGAGACAAAAACATTATATTTGCTAAGGCTTATTTTATAGATTAAAAAACATCTACTAAGATCTTTACCATTTTATAATGTAGGCATTGTATTTGTTGCAATTTATTGCAGGTTATATACAACGTAAGAAATGTTGCTGAGAGAATTTTATAATTCTGTTTCACATATTTACTCGATTTAAATTGGTTATTGCGCAACCGAGACTATGTTTGTATTTCATTATGAACCTGAGGATGTGTGCTGAACGTGTTTATCCGCTTCAAAAACTTACACAAAATGTGTCGAACTAATATTACTGCGACACTACCCTTATCACGGGAAATAAATGTCATTTCTATTACGGGGAAACATAGCATACGTAAGAGCTATTAATGTTGTGTCAAGAAATTTAGGAAATCACTGGAACTGATAGCTTTTCTCTTAGTATTTTTCATGTAATGAGATTTTTAGCTTTTTTTTGTTAGGATTCTGTACATTTTTATATAAGTACTTTCTTCTAAGTTACTTTAGTTTACGTTTAATTCCGTAAGCTGTAACTAAATAACTTTTTCAAAGAGGATTTTGAACGGCCATTTCAAAACTTAAGAAAGCTGTTCAAGTAATTCACCTAACCACATATGAGAGAATATTAGTTATTATTAGCTTGTCCATTCACCCATTGTTGTCTTTCAATCGGGATTTCACTCAAAATTGAATTAGACATAGCGTTATCCCCCTAGGTTTTAACTTTAGATTAGATTTTTATTTATTTATTATTAATATCACAAAAATTTGCATCACATAACATTCTTACATTTGTAAAATAAAAATAAATACACTTTTATATAAAACTATATACATATGTGTAGTTGGTAATGAACAAGTGCATCTTAATATAATACTACTCATGATTCAGAACGCTAAGTACCTACTTATTTACAATATTAAAACAAATTCACGTTACATAGGCTTTTTATGCACCTGGGCACCTGCAGCAAATGTAACTATTGAGTTATCATAGGTGGTTTTTAAACGAATGTTATATAGAATTTATTTACTCATTATGTATCTATACTTCACAAGGTTTTCACAACACAAGACTATGGAGAATTCATCAGTTAGCACAAAGGCAAGTAAATAGTACAAAATTTGTTTTATAATAGATGGATGTAAAAATGGTACCTAGCGGACATTATTATAAAGTAAGTATTATTGTATCTATCCCAAGACTACAATAGACACAATCCTATACAAGTACGTGTAACGAGATTAGCTATAATTATTATGTTAGAATATCATGTAAGACAAATCATTGGTTTAAATTTATTAGTGCCACTAGCATCTAAACTAGGCCGTGCCTGTGTCTTAGATGCCAGTTCTCCCAATGACATTTATATATATTTTCTTAAATTCGTGAATTAACTTAGTAATTATTAGTGTACCATATATATAGTATTATGTATACTAGTGTATATGTACACACACAGATATCAAACTTATGACAAAGAATGTTAAATCCAAAATTAGTGTTTTTTCCAACGTACACATTACTACCAACAATATCAACTTATTGTGGGTAGTACTAATATTGTGTGTACAGTGAATGAACACAAAGTAAATCACTACTATGACTGTGGACTTGCGAAATTATTCCTTGATGAATATTTATTAATGATTCACGGTACATACAATAAAATTAGTCTGTTAATACAAATACTAATACACATGTCCCTTTGGTATTTATTTAGATTGACTTCGTATGTTGAAGAAATTATTATTTTTCTTTCTAGTTTTAGCTGAACATCGTATTTCTACGATGTTCAGCTAATAAATAAATCACCTGATATTGAATATTTTTAATTATGAGAACTTTTATTTTCATCTCAGTGTATAGGAAAGAAATAAAAGTAGATGTTAATATCACAAATATATTTATTGTATTATTGTACATATGTTTACATAACACAGACGAAGTAGAACTATCACTCTGAAAAATTGATGATTTAAGTATATAGAATAAAGGACGTCACACCCGGCGTAGATATTGTTACATTTTACCAAGTACTTATTTGAGAAACAGATGTTCTCATATACGCATCCATATTTATTAAAGACGATACATATGTACGTAACGTAGTATTTGGTTATACTATTTAACAAATCTTAAGTACATTTTATATATATATGTATTATTTATAGTGATTAGTTTCTTTAATTAGTCTACATTTCGGATAAATTATTACAATATCTGGTCCGTTGGTGACAACCTTCTAACTCCCAATAAGGACATTTTATTCGTATTAATATAATTTAAGTATTGTGCTAAAAGATATAGATGAATTGATAGATTTGATTAGAAAACAATTACGAATTTGTGCTCAGTGAAGCGGGGGCTTCCGAGAGACTCCTCATGTTCCCCTGAACATTTTATTTTGGTAAAAAATAACCTTTCACATTTACAAATTATTTACAATTTCATTATTCTCTAATGTCGATAATCGTTGACATGTGCCAATGGAAATTAACTTCGAGCGACATTTTTACAATGAATATTTAAAATATTTTTAAGTACAATATAATAACAAAAAATATATATATTGTTGTATTGTATTCATATTAAGTCGATTAAAATCTAATTTATTTATTTCATACCTACCTGACAATGACTGAACACTATTAAATAACTCACAATTGCTAAAACTTGATTATGCTTGATATAATTCTTATAAAATGTATAACATAGACAGACAAGACAACAGAGTATAAACAAAATATATACGAATAAATGAAAGAAGGAAGGTGCTCGTATAAACAGAGAAAATAACGTAAGAATATCACTTAAGTAATATCACGTATAAGATATTTATTATTGAGAATTTTAAAAGGAAGACGAGATGCCATTCTTTGTGTAATATTTAACCATTCTCAATTTAGAAAACAATTTAACAGAATTTGGGAAAATACTTTTTAGAATGTGGATAAAAGTATATATATATGAAAATATTTAATTATAACTGAATTTTAACTGGCTGCTATATAAAAAATATCCGAAATCTGGTGTCATATATAACATATATATGATACCAGATTTCGGATATTTTGTTTCCTCTTACAATAATTCACATACGTATATGTATAACAAAATATATCAATAAAGTTATGTTATTTTTCAATAAAAATATATGATAAAATAAAAGAATCGGTATTTTGAGTATCTAAATTACGTTATTGCTTTTAAAACATGCATGCATCTATCCAGACAGGAACCCATGAGTCATAATTATAAATTAAATTAATTTATTGCGTTCATTTTACTTACATTTACTATTAATATCATTTATATAAATTATTTTTTAAAAATCTAATAAATAATACATTTCAATGATTCACGACTCTACAATTATATACAAAAATGAATCTCTTTTTAATGTACCCCGAATAAATAGTAATTGTTTCAACTTGCACTAATATTTGTTAAAAATTGACAAATTGTGATGACTTTGTTTTGGCGATGACCTGAATTGTATAATATATGTATTAACATTATACTCTTTGATATTATATATATTGTGTAAATATGAAAGTAATGCAAAATATTAATTATTTCTTAAAAATCCAAGTTTACATGGAACTTGGATTTATAAGAAATAAATGAATACTTTTATATTTTGTTAAAAAAATGTTTTTACTTTAATCAGAGCAATCAATCAAGAATATTATAGTGCAACTATGAAATCTTTCCAGTCTATTGATAGGACGTAATTAATTATACATTTGAAATATACTGCATGTGGACTATAGAATAACACAATGAAGTAACAATTGAAATCATGCATTTTTATTTTTAATGGGAATCAATTGTTTACTTTTATGATACGAGCAGCTGAGATCTCACTTTAATCACTATACATTAAAGTGAGATCTCAGAAAAAATTGTGTGCACAAAAACATGCTCGTCACGAATGTTACATTACAATTTAGGTCAGTCGCTAGCTTTAAATTTTTGACCACGCGAGCTGTGTGAGCCGACCATAGTGCTGGGATGCAAGTCGGTCTAAACATATTTCAAAGATTTCAAATTTCCCAAATAAATATTCGAATAACTTTGTATAAAGTTAATTTGCTAATAGGTAATTAAAAATGTTCTGTACTGAAAATTATACACGTACATACACAATTTATGTACATCTATACCCAATAATACTCTCATAGAAAATCCTAATACTTGGAAAAATGTTAATGTAATTATTTATCAGCAGGCATGATATATGTGATTCCGAATGATTAAATAATTAATTCTTTATTAATTAATTAAAAATTGGTCGTCCATTTAAACTTTAACCTACTTTTAAATAGATAAAATATTTCACAAAAAATAATACTATGTTTGATATGTTTAAAATTATGGAAACCTATTTTAAAATATTATGAACTGCAATTGAATTATGTGAACTACTGAATCAGTGATTATTTGTGTTATTAGTTTCACATTATTTTAATACTTCAGTGATACGTGTTTCTCCTCTAAATTAGGCAGATAGAAGCAAATTTTACTTTATACAATAAATGACGTTACATGGTAAGCTTATTGTATAAAATACTTTCAAGTTCTGAAGATAGAAAGGGAGACTGTTTTAGAAAAAGTATACAATAAATAATGATAGAATTTTAACAAAACTAACATTGCATATACAACTGTACAGATTTATATAACCGGGATATCTACCATAATAATATTATTTATGAGCTATCGGTATTTTCACGCTTTTATATAACATATATATATCCCGTTTGTATAATATGCACAATTAAAAACAGCCAAGAAATAAGTTTGAAAACAGTGGCTATTATGTTGAAGACTTAAAATATTCGCTATTAATAGTAAATTTTACATAAACATTCAATTCTCACGCCCACAAATACAGTTGCTTATGACATTAAAGAGACTACAGTCTACTGAATCTTATTATATAATATTATAAACCTCAGTTCCGATTTTATTAATTTTATCACTGATTAACTCTCAGACAAACAATGTATTTACAACGTGAGCACTAATACTTGTATTGTCGTATGTCATTCCCTAGTTCTTAATCTCTGAATTCGTACTCTGTACACTATCATCGGTGTATTATAATATAACAGATACAATTGACACTCCTAACGCACGCAAGAGTACGAAACTATTATATTATTGCCATAGAAAGTCAGATCAATGTGTATCTTCAAAAAGTTGTTGTCGAGTTGAATAGTACATACTCATGTTAAATAAAAAAGTTGTATAATTACTGGAACAAAAAAATACTATAATGGTCTAGTCTTGATAAAATTTATATGGGAATAAATTATTTACATAAATTAGTATAAATTTACTTATTTGTGGTTTCTAATAAAAATATAGGTTCATGTAGAAATTAACACAAAAAAATACGGTCTAATTGAGAAAATTCTACAAGTCGATCGATAAGAGTTACAGTACAATATATATATATATATAAATATAAGTTTCCTGTATTTATTATAACAAAAATAAATAGAATATTTTTATGTTTTCATGCTGTTTGTTAATGTATTTTGACGGCATTAGCTACTTGCACTAATTGCATGTGAATGGAATAATGAATATAATAGAGTCGAAAAATATACATTTATTGTGAAGTATCGATTGTATCTGACCTTATTTCTTTATGTATATAATTATCAACTATTAATATAACAATTTCTATGATTTGATATTGTTTTGATAAATATAAAATTACACGATTTTAAATCATGCATCTACGGAAGGAATAATTTAAATAGTTTGATATTTAGCTTATGTACAGCGAAAATCAATGAGAAAGACCATTTTCAAGAGTCGTGTTAAACGTCGAAAGGAAGATTAGATTCTACAGAATGGTCGATTGTCTTTCTCATCAACGAAGTTATGCAATAGTTTGAAATTGAAATATTTCGATATGATTATTTTAGAATCGTATTCAATTCAGTCTACTAGAAGATCACACAGAAAACAGTATAAGGTTACAAACATCATTTAGAAAGGTTTAACACCGAAAGGGGGTTCCAAAAGGCCTTCTCAACGGTAACGGGAATACTTTCATCAAAACGATTTAACATTAATTTATTTGGTGTTATTATTATTATGACTACGGCTCCGTGGTTTCACTGTGCGGACATTTAGGAGTTTTTATTATGTAAATGTGTCTTGGAATAGTATTTGTGAAGCGACGATGTTGATGTTACCTGGACAAAAAATAAAGTTTTCATTAATATGAATCTGTATACTGTTTACGATTATAATCTCAGATGGGGCAATTAGAGGCAATTTCAATGGACGAGTTTGCATTTCAGTGAGTTCCTATATTTTAATGTCACACAATAATGTATGAAGGTATTTGTTATGTTCTACTTTTACAATTTATAAAATTTACCCCGTCAATCTAAATACACTATAAATATTCTCATTTGTCTATAAAATATTTAACTTAGTAAAACTAGAATTTGTGCTTAAACGATATAAATACTTAAAATTATAACAAAAATTTAACATATATAGTATATAAAGGCCAGATGTAATGTAATCAATACAATTATATATATATAAATATCCGAAGAATATCACAGTCGTTACTACTCGTCTCGGCACATGCTGAGCGGAGATCTATGTGATAAAATACAGTGCTTCAAATTGTTTGATTATCTTTTCATGGTACAATAAAGTGTGTTATAGAATAAACATATTTTCTTGCTTTCTTTCTACATTAACGTGTGTTACATAAACAATGTCATTATTATAGATATGTATGAACTTTTAATAGAAATGTAACTCACTCAGCTCTTCTAGCACATGGTCTCGGGTCTGGCTGGCGTGGGAGGTTGCGGCTGTTGTGGCTGTTCAGCGGACCTTTGGCGCGGCAGCTGCGACGAGTCCAGCACTATGGAAGGTCGTGGCGGAAGGTTTTCGCTTACCATATGCGATAGCGATAGATCGCTTGATGCGTTCGTGTCACCTGTTACAATATACATAAATAATAAATTAATAACTCTGGACAATTAACACAACGCTATCTAGTCTCACGTTAAGCAGAGCTTGTGATATGGATACTAGACAACTGATAGAAATAGAAAACACTCAGATTGATACAAACACTCATGATATACAAGGTCTGTGTAGCTTGAGACTAGATGGCGCCGCTTGAATAGTCGTAAACAGAATTAACTCGTTATCTTACCTGACGGTTGCCTAGGCACAGGTAGAAGCACCTCTCCACAAGAGTCGTCACCCAGCAGCGGCTGTAACGGTGACGGCAGCTCGCGACTGTCGATAGCTGAAGACCTCCGTAGAGAATGCCTATATGCCAAGCGGAAAGTGATGAAGATTATGAAAACTTATCGAAGGAAAATTTACTGAGGTCGCATACAACTGCGTATGTTAGCTATCAAGGAGCTTGCTTTGTACTGTGTTTTAGTTTTGGAGATATAGACTACTATACTAAGGAGACACGATAAGATTAAAGTCCTCTGGAACATCTGGTGAGGATTACCACTTACCGTCAGTTGTGTCGTCAGCTTGTTAACCAATACAGTTACATAAAATATCCATTTGATAGCACCTGTCTGCTAACAGTGAATGCCATATGATTCTTTTTTTGTTTTGTTTACTTGTATGGAATCAGTTGTAAAATTGTAAAGACTAATAATTTTTTTGATTATACATCGTACATCAGATGTCAAATATTTTAGGTCAATTTAGAATAATATAGTAGAAGACAAATAATTTTGCATATAATAGCTATTAAATAGGGTGTCATCCCTACAATCTCAATTTTTAGGCTCATTTAATTGTCCGTCTAAATTTGAGAAATAAGGATCTGATTTTTAGTGATTGCAATTCTCTAATATATTATTTACAAAATCAGGAATACTAAAAATGGCCAAATTAACATTAAATTATATATAGTATAACGGGGAAGAGATTGGTAATCGTAAATTAATGGTCCCATTGCTAGCAATGTTCGGTTAATCTCCACGTAGTCACTCTCGGAAACCATACGTTTAATTCTTGGTGAATTCACCACGATAGTCTGACCGACTGGCTCATAATATCATCCTTCACTAATACTCCGCCAGTGGGGGTAAGAGATTGTTAGTAATGTGGACTTATGAAACCATTGCTAGCAATGTTCCATTTCATGTTGACCTCCAATATTTTCCCCTGGAAACCATCGTGTTAATTCCTGCTGAATTACCCACTATGGGCTAACTGACCTGACCTTACTCATTTTATCCTCCTCTAGTACCCAGCGTAATCCGAAAGCGCAAGCGGGTGCACCATTCCATTATCATCAATTTAATAGAAACTACTTCGCTGCGTATACCGTCAGCTTAGAGAAGGACAAAAAACAATATGTATCATACCTTTGGTGTGGCAAACGTCTATCGCTGACAGTAAGTAACGTAGTCGTTTGATGTGGTTGGCCGGAAGTCTGTTCTTCCCCGCTGTTGTTCACGCAGACACTGATACTGATGCCCCCCGGCTCACCACTCCCCCCCTCCCCACCCTCGGCTGCCTCTTCCTCATATCTGCCCAAGACAGACCCCATTTCTAGGCTACTAACGAGATTGATTCGGTTGTAGTTTGGATACTCTTTAGATGAGGTACAATCACAAACAAGCATGGCAATCGCGTGGTTTTATGCTCAGGTGACAAATGGTACACGTTATTGTGGTAAGGGAGACCAAGACATTCTGGGATTTACTCGGGCGCGGCGAATGAACATAATAGGGATTCTATTAATCACGTAAAGTACCTCCACTTTGTATATGTCTTTTGATAGGGCTGTGCTCATCAGAATAGTAAAAAAGCATCGTATTTTTTCGTTATTATTAAAAAAGCATCATAATTTTTCGCTTATGTATATCCAGATTTATTTATTTATATAAATTTAAAGCACATACCAAGGTGAAAGTACATATGGCGGACTAAACGTCTTAGGACATTTTCTTCCTGTCAACAATCGGTTGGCAGGTAATAAATAATGAATAAGAAAAACAGTATGTCGTGAAAAGTATATAAAAAAGCAAAGTACATGACAACACAGACACAAACACATACACGGCCACCATATATTTTTTCTTTTCATTTATGTAAACTCTTAGGTACATTACTAAAAGTGGTCCTATATATATTAATTTTCTTTAATATCACATTTTCTAAACCAAGTCCCCACGACACTCAAGTAAATCTCCATGTAACATCATGGGCTCCCACTACGAGTAATATTTTTTTGCATGAAATGATTGTTGCTGTATTTGTGAACCATTAAATAGAATATAATTATATAATTCATTGGGTATATTGCCACTCAGCTGCTAGCGTTCTGTGTAAGTATTTTAGAGTTTGCCTCTTATAATGCGAAGTGCAAATTACGACAACCAAAGCAACCTATAGCAGACATTGCTCCCATTTCAAAATGTATACTACTAGAGGTCAATGAAATAATTAATATGTATAATATATAGTTAATAGTACTATGTAAGCCTAAGTAAATACTTATTTTTATACAAATGTTACTTTAAAAGTGTTACTTTATAAATCTTATTCGCATAGATAATTAATATTTCTTAGAGAACCATTTACAATAATAATATGTGACATAACTTCTACTAAAACCATATAAATCAATAGAATATAACTTACGTTCTACTGATTTATGTAGTTTTAGTAAAAAAAACAAGCAATAGTTATTATAGCCTCTTAAATTATTCTCATTTTATAATCTTTATGAAAATAGTCTGTAGCTTAGTGAATACTTTTTAATTACAGTTTTTTTTATTAAGTATTATTTAAGAATATGAGGCCGGACTAGTGGTGCATAGGAGGTGTGCTACAATGAGTTTAAGCATGCTTATAAGTTTAAATATTTGACGTACCGCCGCTGTATGAGGTTCTCCATGATGATGTAGTCATCTTCTTCGGCACCTCGCAGATGCTCTTTCTCCATGAAAAGTGCAAACTCAGGGTTTGACATTTCACTGGCGTGACGTCTGCGTACAGAAGGAGAGGCCGCTCTGGCGGGGGACAGGAGACGCGAGGTGATTGGTGTTCTAGTGATTAATAACCGTTATGAGTTAATTATAATAGTTTTAATGTAGTTTATTTATTTATAGTTATTATTACTGACGAATTCGCATATAGAAGTGGCAGTGGACTGGTCATATTTATCGTAGAATTGACGGTTGTTGGAGTAGATGTGTTCTAAATTGGAGATCGTAAATTGCCAATCATAGCGTAAGATGGTCGGCAGCTTGATGGAGCGACGATATATGTAGGGTTGTGGGTAATAACTGAATGAGAAGGGTTGAAGATTGTGCCCAGTGGCTTGCATTGGGAGAGACCTATCTTCAACAGTGCCGTGGGCTGATGATCATGATTATCAAGGAAGACTTTTTAAAAGTTCTGCGTAAGTTCCTGAGTTTCATCTACTTCAGTCACCAAGCGGCTTTGTAAGATGTGTTTCTGCTGACGTATTTCATAAATTAAGAGCCATCCCATATTTGTTCTCAGGAATGGCAATCGTATCAGATGGTAATATGGTACCCGTAGTGCTGTTCCTGTATATGTATATAGGCAACTGCACTTCCATCAGGAAGGTCGTTTGCTTGTCTGGCATTCCAATTACATTAAAAAAATATCAATTGGCGATAGGGTAACCCCCTATCACGATGGATTCAAATATACTCCTCGAATTGTTGACATGTCAAGTGTTACGTTTACAACAACATCGACAATTGACAATGCTCCTAACTATTCCATATGGGATACACAGGTGAAGGTAATATTAATTATTTATCATTATTTAATGTTGTTGTTAGAAATTTAATATTTAATATTAATACGATTAGAAACTGCGTAAAATTGTACGTGTAATTGAAATTACAGTTTACTTAGTGTCTAATAACAATCTATTTGCTTTGTATCGTAGGTATATTTTTAATCACATTATCAGTTTTGAGTAATATTAATAGGGTTTATTTTAGCTCGTTTTCAAAACGTTATTATCGTAAAACCTCGCTGTTGACAAATATCTCTTCATGTTATTAAAAATATACCAGTCTACCAACCTGGCGAGGCGGCTTGGTATATGTTTTTTACTGCGAGTTAGCTTACTTTTGCACAAGGTCTCTACACAAACTTATTCTGTAATTTTACTATACAAATAACCTAGGGCATACAACACAACACACATTTAGTCCAAAACTTAACGGAGCCTATGTTATAGGACTAGACAGCTAATACACTTAATTGGAAAGTATGTCAGTCTATTTGTTTATTTTTTCCACAACTAAAGGACTGTTCGAAATTTAATTAAATCTTTTATCACAGAAAAGATCTGAATAGAGGTTAAATTATTGACGAATTTTCGTTCGTAATAGCCAGTATCATATACAATAAATGGAAACTTACAAAAAAGTACACTACTGACCTGGGAGTATGTGGCGGTGAGAACAGTCCATACACTGTCTCCAGTTCATCAGTGATGCTGGTATACTCGTGCATGGCCAGTAGCAACGATCGTGGAGGAGCCCCCACCCGGGTACGGCCGGGCGGGACTCCTGTCGCGCCCCCTGTGGCCTCCCAACCACATTGACGACCTAACCAATGTTAATTCTTAATTCCATTTTCTCAGAAATTGCTTCATCGTTAAAACATAATAATACTTGAATCGGTCGTAAGAATTAATGTACTTAGTAAGTAGTATATAAGCATTGATATAATAATAAACAAAACAGTATACACTCAAATGTCGTACCTACCATTTGTCTAACAAGCACCACCCTTATATGGCCACCCTGCCATGCGCTAAGAATTACATAGCACGATTGCATTGATTGCACCAAAACTGTACCAGAATATAACATGCCAGCAATTTCCATGAATGGTACAATAATGGACGATAAAATTTTATTTCTCTTTCTTTCCTGTAGTGATTTTCTAAACGAATGGTGAGAAAAAAATACGGTGCAGCATTATCTAAACTTATACTTTTTGAATGAGACAATAATAGGTATTACTGAGAGTTTATTTTTTTATCTACTCCATAACATATATTTCTATACTACGATGGTGGCAAACAGGCCCATCTGATTGTAAACGGTTACCGTAGCCTATAGACGCCTGAAACACCAAGGCTGTGCGTTGCCGACTCTTTAGAAACGTTAATACACCCTTCTTTAAAAACCCCATTTTGTTGTGACAGAAAGAGACTCCAGTCTCTCGAGAAAACTTAGTAGTTCTTTCCAGAATCTAAATATACGCAGGAGGAAACTCCTCTGAAATATCACTGTAGCAATACTACTTTATTAAAGGTAGATAAGTCTTGTAGCCTTTTGATCGATAGTATCTAACATATTGTAATTAATAGCAGAATTCATGTTGTCCCGATAGATCGTTTTTATATTATAAAATGTAATAACTACATGAAGTTTCAATAAAGAAATAAAAGCGGCCATATATTTAGTTTTTAATTCTTTGCAAAATAATAGTGCAATATTATAACAAGCGAAAACGGACCTTATTGGAGCAGAGCTTGTGTTATGGATACTAAACACCTGATACAAATACTTATGTAGATTTAGACCAATACAAACAATCATACTCATCATGTTTGTAACTTACGAGGAATCGAACCCGCGAACATTGGAAGTATGGTAAAGAAGTAAGGCTAAACCGCTAAACCACATGGCCGTAAACTATTGTGTCATAAAAAAATTAGAAGAAAATTAACTCACCTGTTGTAGAGTTATGAACTGAACCCGCATCGACTGCTGAGTTGTCAGGTTCGGAGTGAGTCTGACTGTGCTGTCTGCGCGGCGCCAAGTGCTGGGCTGAGTGGTGACCACCCATCCCACAGTCGTTGCCGCCTTCCGAACGCCTGCGTTTCACGTTTTTTTTTAAACAGAATAGTGAGTGAGGTTAGTGCGTGAATGTAAATGTGTTTGTTTGTGTGTCTGAATAAATACACCGAAGCATTAAATAATGTAATTGATAGATATTAATATACCATATTCAGTAATATAAATATTAAATCTACAACAATAATTAATATATGTCAATTGATATAATTTAGGTATTAAGGTATTTGTGAAGACGATTTAAAAGTTCTTGTAAACAAGTCTATTTAAATAAAGAATATTAGAATTTTATATTGATATCTGTGGGTAGCACAGAGCAGTAAATATTTTTCAGAAAACTTTCGACAGTGACCCACTTAGCCCGCGTCACTTAGAACAAAATATTTTTGGTTCAAAACTTTTCCAATATGTTTAGCATTAACTTTGGAAGTATTTAATTGCTACTTTTAATTAATTTTATACAGTAATTGTAATGGACCGAGCTCATAAAGGATAGTCTTTTATAATTACTGAATATAAATAAATTTAAAAAAGTACGTACGTATTCATAGGTCAATGTATAGATAATATTGTAGAATACGATTTAAGTAAGCTTAAAATAAGGATTTTCAAAATTTATATGTTACGCTACTTGTTCTAATTCTGTTAATTAAAGTAATAACATGGTCAAGATATTATTGTATGTTATGTTGAATGAAGGAATATAGGTGATGCATATCATCCGCAGTACATTACAGTGTAGGTAAGTACATTCTTTTATATGTAGATAAAATAAATCCACGTCCACGTAGCCTTAAGATGTAAGTCATTTGCTTCGGTATATTTTCCAAAAGTATAAAATTGATGTTTAAAAAGTAGTGTGATACAGAAATTGTTATAAACTTACCACAAAGTAGGCTAATCAAGGTTACAAAATTGTTGTGAAGTTGTGATGTCGGTAAAAATATTTAATTGTGAGTGATATAAAAATATAAAATTAGGTACAGAACCATTTAATAAAACGAAAATGCTGATACACATTTCATACGAATAGAATGTCAAAGCACAGGTACATAAAAATATATATTAATGTTACTTAATATTAAATTAAGGGTTATTTATTATTAAATATTTATTTACGGAAGACAGCTAGCATGTTTATATATTATGTTAAATATTTTATTGAAGATAAATTTTACAAGTAATTGCTGTTAGTGATTAAAGAGAGTGCGATTTTTATTAATAATAACAAACGTGTGTGTGTTAGTCGTACGTATACATACAAGTGAACGAAACGGTGTTGTACTCGTTTAATGTTCAGAACATGAATGTGCGTGAAACATAACAAGTTTCAGAGAGATATCTAATATTCATTAGGGGTCATTCATAAATTATGTGACAACTTGAGGTGGGAAGGAAGTCGATAAAGCATTACAAGTAGTAGGAGCGGTCCTAAATTTTCTGAAAATTCATTTCGAAATGTATTGAAAAAAATTGAACTACATATTAACAAAAGACTTCAAACTATTTCAAACTTTATCTGTATAAATATGACGTCAACATATGAGACGTCATACTGGTGGAGGGGTGAGGGAGGGGGAGGAGTCTCACAAGTGTTGCTAGGACTAATAAAGACGGTAAGAGAGGTAAAAAAACATGAAATACGTGTGACATAATTTATGGTAGGCGCCTTATAATAATAGACGTATAAAAAATACATGTTCATTTGGGAATATTCCACGCGCACATTCACATCATGAAATACGAGTACAGCCTTACATTACAGCCTGTTCTGTAGAATGGTTACACAATGAGGTACTACGTCTAACTACAATGCTATATACAAGCGAAGCCAGTCGCCATATGAGTCTAGTTGACTTACTGTTTCCACAACCGTCTCCTAACAGATGCAAGAAGGTAACAAAAAATAAAATTAAAAACAATCATGGCGATGAGAATTTTGTTTCATTCAAACGAATTTAATAATTGCCAATTCGATGAGTAAATGAAAATAAACGTACTCCTTCTGTGTACCGCTCGTGATGATAATGTTTATAACATAATTCGAATAACAATACCAACTACGATAATGCCTTATGAACTCAAATAAGGTAGCTCAATTATTCTAAGGAGAAGTTATTTGGCCATTTTTGACTATATAACCAAGGCTTTTATTATGTATCATCATTGCTAGCAATTTTTATTAGCCAGATCAAAATATACAAATTTGCGATCATGTCTACGAGTTACATAAACATTATGTAACTGGAATAGACACAAATCTGAACCTGTCTGATTATAAATAATAACTGTCGTCTATATAGATATTAACAGCACTACTAATACCATACTTTCATGTGACGCTCAAGATAGTATTAGAGTATTAAGATGTTACACTTCCATATCCTGTAAACTCACTGTTTTATCCCACCGTTCATTTGAACATTCTGCTAAAATTCAACAAGTCACATGTAAATATGTCCAGCTCAGGAAATCTATGAACGATACCGTTGAGTAGACTCAGTGCAAGAGTAATGGGAGCTTGCTTGACCACCTCTGTTCTTCTCCAAGGAACATCAAATAAGTGTTTATGCGATTGTGCATAAATTTTCAGATCAGTCACAGGCAAACTAGTAAAAAGGACTTTAATCTGTTATAATTAACATTTGTTACCTATGTTCCATAACTTTTCAATTGTTAGCTATCAAAATGTCATTAACGCCCCATCCGTGAGATCAATTACAGGACTTCTCACAGATGAGGCTATAGTGTCCGAGTCCAATAATTTGGCTAATTCGTAGATGAGACGTTAATAAGGCAGTAGATATCCAGTAGTATTCTTATTCGAAGACAACGTATAATAAAATGATTTAGCGTCCATGCTTAATGAACATCAACAATACTTATGAACCACATGTATGTCATTTGAATATTTATAAAGACTAAACAAGTAATATAAGAATATCGCAATTGCACTTATAGATTTGTAAATTTTCCTTTATGTTTTGGTCTAGAAAGTTCAGCTTATGTTTAGTATAGATTTGGTAGATACTTATTCCATCACCTTTCAGTTTTTAAATCATTTTCAATCTTATGGCAATAATTGGCTAAAACTCGAATATTAAAGATTCTTTATGTTGTACACCATATTTCGGAGATATGTAACTAATATTTTTGAAGAATAAGGAAATGAAACTATCGAACTACACAACTACGAACTAAACAACTTTTTGTAATTTTACTTACCTATGTTATTCAGTAGATAATCAATACACAATACACATAGTATTAATATGTATCTTTTTATAGTATGAACGAGGCTTGAATAGTTGAATATTGGAGAGTATTTGCAAGTAAAATACAACTCTACAGAATACATGCATAATGTAATGAAGAACAAGATAAAAAAAATACATGTGAAGAAAGTAATACCATCCCAAAAGAAACTTGGAAAATTATTTTCTCTGTACGGTAGAATGAAAGTCACGTTTTAAAGATAGTTCTGAATATAGAAGATGAATGTATTGTGTAGTAGATGCTTATATGAGAGCAGGGTGAACATGGAAATGACGGGGCGGAAAATATAATGCGTTGGCCCTAAATAATTCTATAAGGGTCAGGGAAAGATGAATCGACTCGACTACTTTTCTTATAGCGGTGGTGTATAATTTTACAAGAATGATGAAAATCGAGTACTTAATTTTTCCTTTTTCACAAATTGCTTTGCTAAACATAAAGCTGGTAATAAAAAGAAAGTTGAATATATTGTTACAAAATGAAACTTCCAATATCCCTATTCAAAATTTTACTTTGATGATATCTACAAGTGGTGTATCCTAAAAGAGCTGAGTTTTAAAAGGTGATGTAGTAAGTTCCCTTAAATGCTACATGTTCCCATTTACAAGATTAGCAAAATGTACCTTATATATTTGACATACCTATCCAAAATATTTTTATTGATTGCGTTATCGTGTTTGGAATCCCTTATGTAGAGAATAGCCAAATGTTAATTGATGCTTACCGTCTAGTATTAGCAGTACGTCGAGTACCGGCAGAGGTGGTGCGAGGACGCAGGCTTTGAAGATCTGACGGCATTTCGGGTACTTCTGGCAGGAAGGCGTCATCGGTCGATGATGGCACTACATTATAGAGGTGTAACAATTATAAGTTATTTTGCAAGAAATTTGTAAGACGTATAATGACCGTTTTTAATTAGATTTTTAAATAAGAACCATTAACCAAACAAGAAATACTTTTATATTGTGTATATTTCAAGGAAGTATATAAATAATAATAGAAAAAAATTAATAAATTAAAAATAGTTAATAAAAGATCGTCGTAAAAACATAGTTAAAACAGAAATTATTGACATAGCTATTCAGTTGTATCAATCATAAAGGAATAATAATTTTGTCCGAACTTTAATGAAGATGCAATAGTAATGCTAATAAACTGTTTATAAATTCTGATATTGTAATTTGATCGAGCAATGAAAATGCTACTTTATAATATCTAGTATATCTACAGTATAATAATCCTTGCTGGCGGCTGAAAACTTGTAAATAGTATTACGTTTAATTTTTTCTATACCTTTCTTTTCATCACTGGGCTCTGTTCTATTGCTATCTGAGGAACGTTGTCTTGCTGGTGTGATAGGTGGTTGAGGTCTAATTACAGTTACATCTGGAACAGCCACACTACCACCTGACGACGTAGAAACTGAGTCAGCTTCAGGTTCCTTCTGTGGGCCAGTTTCAGGACCTGATTGTACAAGTTCATCCTGGATGGAAAATAAAAAATATTTAATATTGAACTCTTCCATTCTCTGAAACCACTAATGTAGATCTAAAGATAATAGGACTATAGATGAAAATTGGACTATTAGCGTGTATAGCAGTAATTTCAGTCGCAACATTAGTAATAGTGAAAGCTTGTACATTAACAGAGTGTGCCTAAGCATAAAAAGTGTGTGGCACAATGAGAGAGAGACAAATAAAGGTGAAACTTCTTCTTTATATAGCTCTATATCTATATGCATCTCTACTTATTTCTTAAAGCAAATCGCATGTAATAACTCGTCACGTGTAAAAATATTTTCTTAAACTTAATATGAGAATTGTATGTCATTCGTAAAGAAGTTTCACATCAAAAAGTTAAGTGTACATTAAAATGTGGATGCGTAAGACTGATAACAAAAAAGATAAATTTTAAAGTGGAGTGATATTGAAACAAAGTGACGTCACAGTATGATTAGAAAAAGTGAACATGAGAAAGGTAGATTGTAATATTGTTACATGCACATAATTTGACGTGTAAGTGACGGGAAAAGAAAATTTTGTGACCCGAAGTATTTCACTATAGGACCAGATTGTGTGTTTCGGAAATTATGCTGTCTCACACGATACATAAAGCACTTTGTGGAAATAGTTGGATGGTTTTGTCGCCGGACCATTCGTAGCTGGACCGTTCCACGTTCTAACGGCCATTATGTGGAAAATTCTACAATGTTTTCAGTCAACTTATATTAAGATAAAACAAAGCCGCGTTTTACTGCCCAAACTCGCGGAGAAATTGTACATTATAGGGATAATGTCGAAACTTATATCATCATTGCCTCTACTTTGTATCCTTTGTATGAGGTCGATGCAGTATATCTTCATCTCCCCTAGCTAAGTGGTATACCTAATATCGGGCTTCATTTTTCATTTGGGCATATTATAATCTCTTATACAGTTCACACATCTGCCAAAACTTATTTAAAACTGCTTATCCTCGTCACTTCATACGCGTGTATGGAAGACAATATTTTTTTACTATAAAGCTGAAATTTTATAATATAAATTTTTATATTGTATTTGTATACTTAAGATATCATCTCAATAAAAATGTTTATATCAAAATCGCTTTCTACAACAAACTACATTGTCTAAAATATACGACAAAGTGAAATGAGCGCTATCACGTATACAGCGTCGACGTTAAGTAACATTACTTCTCGGGAGCTCAATAAATTTCGACATTGTCCTTTACTTAAGGAAAATCAAGAGAGGCGTAAAGAGCGTAAAGAGATAATTTCGTTTAGGCAGCGTCAACGCGGAGTCATATCGGATGGAGGGGCTTACGTCGGAGGGCTGGGAGTCGTGTTCGTCCTCCTCTTGCACAGGGCGGACGGCGAAGCGGGCCGCGCCCGTGTCACTATCCGACAGCACCTGTGTGTCACCATTGTAAGCCTAGTTCACTGGCTTACAGATTAGTCGATTCTTTAGTATATTCTTGTTAGCAAATAAATACTACGTAAGTAAGTAGGCACTGCTTTTAAGATAACCTCTAAATTGTGTCAAGTAGCCAACTACTGCTCTTACTGTTAGTAAGTTAATAACACGCATTTGTAATAGTATTATAATGTAATTCTAAGCTAATGTATGCTAACGATTTTATACAAAATTGCTTAGTTTTAAGTAACGCGTGTTGGTTGTGAACGAACTATACAACTTGTACTATGCAAGTAGGTTATATGGAGTGCTAATAAAATTCATAGCTTCTTAAAAAAAAAAAAATATTGCAATTGGCGCGAGAATATGTCTGATATTATTATCTTTAGAAAGTAGTTTGCGACAACCTATGACTTTACAGTTATAAATAGCTAATTGAAATATTGTCAAATTTTTCATAGTTATAAACACATTTCATACAAATCTGAATTTATTGAAATTTGAAATAATGGTGGATTATACTATTATTCAATTGATACTAAATAATCGACTTATAATATTGGCCTAGTGAATGAGGCTATAGCGACACTTCTAGATGGAGGTCATTCGTAGCTGTGACATCGTCAGGAGTGAAACAGTACCTTTAATAAGCTTTGTCTTGCTTCCAGATGTTTCGTGTTCAAAGAAAATGTAGGTCAAGTTCGAATTTAATTATTCTACACTCACGTACAAAATTTACATGCATTATGCACAATCATGCTTTTACAATAGATTAATTCGAGTTATAGGTAAATATATTGCTTCAATTTAATGGAACGTAATTGTGAATGAACAGAAATAAATTGTAAATTACATTACGAAATATAAATGTTTTAGGTATTAACTGAAAATATTAAATACTGGTTTGCATCATAGAAAATGTATATAGCGCATTAGAGTAAATATTTATTTGTATTCTATTAAAATCTCACCGAGTTGCGCATTTGAAATTTATAAAGGGTTCAATTTGCATCTCATCGAGTGAAAACGTAGCCAACGTGCGCAAAGTGCAAACGGAGACATAAAGGAGTCACTTATAAAAGCAAATGCTGCTTTCAATGAAAATATTGAATTTGTTCTACTTTGACAATGTTGAGCTGAACTTGTGAGTTTAAAGTAGAATGTATTCAAGTGTAATGTATTCTCTCCTAATGATGTCACGTTTTCGAATGAAGCTGAGATAATTTGCCAAAATTTATACCTTTCATCCAATATTAATAAGATATCTTGTTAATTTGTAATATTAAAATAATACAATGAATTAACCATTACAAATTGTTAACTAATAATGGTCAATTCATTGTCTGAGTGTCAAAAAACAAACGATAAATGTTGGCAATCTATAAAGTACACAAAACATATAATGTATAATGAGACATAAGACATCGATAATTGATAAAATCATGCCGAAATGGGAAGTGTTGAAACATTAGTAAGTTTTGAAGCATACTTAAGAGTTTAAAACATCGAATTACACTTTAAAGTAATATTATTTAGGAGACAAAATGCGTATTATTGTTATAAAATGAAACAGATGTCCAGTTAATAAAACGACGCTAAATAAATTCGTGCAACGGACCAAATCGGGAAATTGTGATTCCTTTTATTTATTAGAAGTAGGTATATTAAATGAATTCTATGTTGTATTAAAAATGAAAGAATTTACTTTTTCTTTGAAGGTATTTTCATTTAACTGGAGCATTAAACTGAAGACAAACTTGATCTTGTTAAGAAGAAACAGTATATGTTACGGAAGTTAGTAATAAACTTCGTATCAAACATCTAGATAACTAGATACTTTTTTCCTTTTAATATTAGTAGATAACTTGAACACTACCTACTGAATTACTAACACAAAAACTATAGTGATATTGTCAATAAGAATTCATTCTATAAAATCAGTGTTTAAAAAAAATGGAGTTTAGATGTTAATAAATTAATAATTGAAATTGTATAATAGTAATAATATATATTTATTTGTTTTGCAAATACAGAATGAGGCAATAGTGAGTGATTTAAAAACTAGTTTCAGTAGAGTTACAACATTGTAATATATATCTAAATGCTTACATATAAACTATATTTAAGTTAGATTACCCATTAAAACATCATATAAAATAAAGGGTATTGGAAATCGAGTCTCCGTATAATGAAAAAAATATTTAGAAAGTATTAGAATATTATACCTCAGATCTGTCGCTAGCAGTTCTAAGTCTGCTGCCTGCAGATTGGAAGGTCAATGGTGGTGGTGGTCCCAGGGTGTCTGTGGAACCTCTATTTACAAGAGATGGATGGGTGGCCATGAACCGATGTATGACAGCTAAATGGTTCATAGTCTGTTCTGCAGTATCTTCTAACTTCCTTAACCTAAATTCTACACTCTGCAAAAGAAATTTGTATTTTGTTATAATTGGCTAATCAAATAATTCTAAATTTATATTAAAGTTTGCGGGTTCTATTCCTGTTCAATTTTTATTTACTTTACTTCTCGAGACACTCTTCAATAAATTTCTATTCTCTGACCTTCTTTCCATTTAATTGTCCATATAAATAAACAAAATTATCCAAAATTTCATATCATCCAAACATGCAACTTATTTTTTATACAAGTGTAATGGAATGGGTACATATGATGAGTATCACGTCGTATGGTAATGTGACTATTGTTTATTTGTTTATAGGTCAGTCACCATTTATCATCATGTAGGCCGAAAGCTTACTATGTTTGTTTACTATTTCAGTTACATAAAAGACAGAATACACTAAGTTTGTTACCAGTGTGTTGTTTACACACCATGTTAAATATCGAGCGGAGCCCGTTTATTCTTAAAAACTTATGCTTGACCGATCGGAATTTTTTTAAGTGGTAAACAATGGAGGCCCGAATGTCGACCTTCATTGAAATTTTGGTTCGATCGCTCAAAACGTTTCGGAGGAGTATTGTCACAAAGAGTGCAAATCTGATCTACAAGATCGCTCTGCGCTTCGAACTCTGCTCAATAATAAAAGGGATATGTTCTATTTTTGCACTAACATATTCTTCTAGTTATGAAAGTCATGTTTGTTCATTAAATTTTATCACTTAGGTTACTGTAACCGATGTGTAGAGCAGGCTAATATCGACACAGCCACAGCAGATAGTGATGCTAATGTAACTGATTGCGGTAATGGCGCTCATGGTAAAGTCACCATATGGATTTTAGTGGGTAAGAATCCCACATTCGTCAATCCTCCATCGGGAGGACGATCTTTTGAAGTTTTTCCAAAAGGATCGATAGATTATAAATATACTTATCTATAATTATATTAAATACTAGCTATACCCGCGAATATAACTTTATTTTTCTAAAATAAAAGTCGCCTAAGTTACTCCTTACATCAACTACCTGCCAAAAAAAGTAAAGCCATTTTAGAGATTAGCCGGAACAAACAGACAGACAAAAATTGTAAAGAATGATAACATTCTTTACCAAAATAATATGGTGTATAATCCTTATTTATATTCATATGCCTGCAGTAAAAAACGGTTATTTCAATATAACAAACACTCCAAGTTTATTTATATGTATAGATAAAGGAAAATCATCAGTGTCTAACCTACAATATGGTTTAGTATGTTTACCTGTATTGATTGTATTTGGCAATTAGCTTTCTGATTTAAGTCTTCCATTTTGGTCGTGATATGTTCTACTTTATCAGTTGTATTTCTTACTCTTTCCTCTATAGAATTAGATAATTTTACTTCCTGAAAGTATTGATTAATATAAGAACTTGGGAAATACATAAATATATTTTTATAGGTACAGATCACATTAGATATTAACGTGAAGAAAAGTACCCAAAAGTACTAGATTGTATATAAATAGCAATATATGCATTACTAAATAGTACAATTATAAATAAGCTTGTCATTTATGTATACAGCATAAACAAGTTATATTTTTTTAGTTTATATGAGTATTATTATTATTATCGCCCAACGGTTATACAAATTTTGTACTTAGTACAAATAGAGATACAGTTCTTTATTCAGAAACAAAAATTATTCAAACAAGAACTAGGTCGCAATTAGAGTGGTCTTCTTAGAGTAAGCGGATGCCACGCGCCTGAGGGTGATATTTTTAGAGTTGATAAAGTGCTAACTTCTAAACTTACTTGTTCCCTAAAATACCCTTCGACGCACTCCTCCTCGAAGTCATACAGCCGCTCCATATCCTCCTTTTCAAGGAACAGCTTCAGTCCATTGTCATACTGGAAACGTTTGTGTGAAACATTCCTGGTCACCCACTTACAAGTCGCGTATATGTGGCAGAAGATGATCAAGGGTGGTGGAAGTACCGGCTTTTGCTCATACTCCATCACCACAGTGAACCTTTGGAACATCCATACCTGAGAAGTTGGTGAGTGTTATTTTCGGTGTTGTGTCATAGGCAGGTATAACAAAAACGAAATTTTAACTTTGAAAAAATACCTATTTTGAAAATAAAAAAATCTATGAAATCTACTTTACCAAACTAATGGTCGTGAAATCATATTTGGCAAACCAATATGATTGTATGTAAGTTTAAATTTCTAACTACTTCTCTGCTAATAGCAAACACCGACTAATTTGAAATACGACGGCAACCTTGCCTTCAGCCACATTTAAATATTCGCTGCGAAATGTGGTTATGTTAATAGTTAGTTAATATTATAAATGTATCTGTTTATCCCTTTTAGTATTTTCGGGAAACATTAATATATTCTTCTTTCTTATGAAATAAATATTAAATATCTTTATAATCACTTATTTATAATATTACAAATAGTATACATAAATTTCATGCGATAACGGTTATATAGTATCCATAGCATAACAACATTCTAAATAAACACATAAATCTAAAATATACTGAAGCTTAAAAGCCACTGAAATAATAAACAAGCACTCACGGTAACAAGGTGCTAAAAATTTAATGACCATTCTTGAGCGGGCGTCAGTTGAATTACAATTAGGATATTTACTTCAAATGGCAAATAGCTTTACTTCATTACAACATCATTAACACAAGATTAACGTTATAATAAGCGTTTCATTAAAATCGTACTTTTGTAGAACTTTCTGACAGAATTCTCAAACAGTAATAGAGATAAGAAATTTTCTTAATCCTATAATAAAAGAACATTATAAATGACTTGAAAATACTTTTTGTTATAAATGTAAACAAAATTCAAAATTGACAGAAAATAATTGGAGAATTCTGCCACAACAACAAACTAAAATAAAAAATAATAAAAGCAAAAGAAAATAACAAAACCTGATGCGAGATTTCATTGACTTCGTTAAATATATTGTTAAATACTGCAATGAGTAGGTTTATAAGCAATATGTTGGCGACGAGCAGGTATATCGTCATGGCAATAGGTGTTATCCATCGGCCCGTGACACACTTCCTATCGCTGATGTCCAGGCCACAATCGGGATCGATGTCCGGGGCGAACACTTCACCGTACAACATGAAGTATGGCTGGAAGAACACCTACAAAGAACGTTCCCCGATTCAACAAAAAAATAAAAGAAATAAAATTTAAAACAAAAATAGACAACCATGATATCTACAAATCAAATCTACTTATAATTGAACAATATATAAATAAAATAAATATAAATAATAAGAAATCTAACTAATAATCTATAACTATAGGTACCCACAATGATACTATAGAATCCAATGCAGGTAAAATCTCGCAACAGGCCAGCAAACCAAAATTACAACATTGAGACTACTAATGTGTCGGTAGCCGCAAACCTGATGCGACACTCCGTTGACTTCTATAAAGATGTTATTGAACACGGCTATGAGAAGGTTAACGAGTAATATGTTCGCAATGAGGAGGTATACGCTCATGACGACGGGCGGGACCCAGTGTCCGACCCGACACTCCTCGAGGCCTGGGAGCCCACATGGAGGAGCCATTTGCTCGGCGAATACCTCACCGTACAGCATGAAGTATGGTTGGAAGAATACCTGCAAATGTTAGTAATGGAAGAATTGACCAATGGTTAGTTTTTTAAACAATGGATTCAATGATTATGGTTATCGTCGTAAGTGTGTGTGTAATAATAAGATAAAATATCCATATTTTGCCATATATATAGTGGCCATCGGCTCGCACACTAAGCTCTTCTTGGTTTAAAAGTTTGACAGTTAAGAGACCACTGATATTTATATTAAAGGTATAAAAACTATTTAATTTAATTGTTGCATTTACTCTTTTCGCTAAATATTAGCAATTTGATGGTATGTACTAAAACTAGTATTATTTTATGTAATATATATTTCAAAGATTTAAAATATGTAGGGAACAAATACGGAATCATTAAAAAAAGAGGCAGTATCTTAAAACCAAACACTATTAAGTTTGTCCATTAGTATTGCCTTATAATATTCTGCTAGTGAACGTGATTCTTCATCACATACAACTAGTGACTGATACATACATGTCTATACCTGAACATCTGTTAAAATAATTTCAATTTCAATGCAGCTAGATATCCATAAAAAATGCATTTCGTTTATCGTAATTCGGACTTAATTCGTAATTCGGGACTCGATATGACCTCGTAAGTTTTACTTTCTTTCTAAACGAACGGTACATATTATATGAGAGATAAAATATAGATCGTTACAAGTAAGTTAGGTGGATATACATACCTCCCTAATGAGATACCAGCTAGCGTCCTTATCAGGATAGAGTATGGCCTGCCGCGCCACACCAAACGACATAAGCACCACGAGTAATAGCACCACGAAGTATATCATATTCTTTACCATCTTACCCATCATCGTGACTAGAGGACCTGTCAACAGAATATATATTACATTTATGTAATTGAAAGACAAAATCATGTATATTTGTTAATAAAACCTAATTTAAAGGCGAAAGAGATTTGGTATTTGTTGGGTATTAAAACTTAACGACTTAATTAATGATATATATATATATATATATATATATATATATATATATAGATAGAAATTGGAGAGATTTGGATGGTAATGGGAATATGGCTCAATGATGATAATTCTCTTGTTGATCTAAGTCTCTTGTTGATCCTTTTTTTTGTTGTAAAAACATTTTTATCGAGAATGAAAAGATTATTCGTTATAATTTTTATGATTAAAATAATTGTGACCTGTACTCATATTTATGCAATATGTCTTGAGATACAAGATTAGATATTTTTTTTATTATATAAATTCATTAGTACAAAGCTGCCGAGTCTGGCAAACAGTGGACAATATACACTAATACATATACATTGTAAAGAAAATATTAAATTCTCTTTTAAGTACATAATTATATTTCTACACAAGTCTGAACTTGATTTTCTGCAACTGAGATTTAACTTATTTTTCTTCCATAAAATGTTACCTTTGTAGAAGTCTCAAGTTAATTAAAACAGAAATATTCTAAGAAAACGTAATAAACATAACAGATATCTAGCTTTTGGATAATGACAAAATGGCGTAGTTATTAATAAAAAATGAAGAACTTGTACTTGTGTTAATATGTAAAGAGACATACTCATGAATCATAAATATAAACGTTTGTATTGTGCGGGGATTGAACCTACAACCAGTAAAAATATGAGATGTTTCCAATGGTCCCATGTCGTCGATGTCGTCATCTATACTAATATTATTATGAGGTAAAATTTGTCAGTTTGGATGTTCGGGTAATGAAATCTTCAGTACTACTGATCAGATTTTGAAAATTCTTTTAGTGTTGGATATCCTGTTCATCGTGGAAGTCTATAGGCTAAATAACATCACGCTACGATCAATAGGACCGGAGCTGTAATGAAATATTACAATAACGGGGAAAATGTGACGCACGTACGTGTGACGGACGTACCCTAAATATGATTTTTTTATTACTGTCTTTCGTTAAAATTATTTAATTTATAAAAACTATATTATCTACTGGAATATAGATGATACAGTTACATATTTAAATAATATAAATATATAAAAGTAAGTATATAAATAAATAGTTCTTTCTTTTATTATTTAAATCTGTAACTAGGTAATACAAGAGCAAATGCTGTTTTTGGTGGAAAAGCAAATAAGTTGTATACAGACAGAATGGAAATAAGTTAAATTACCATCACCTCTAGACACGAATAATATTACATGAACAAATAAATTGAAACACAAAATATATTAAAATCTAGAGGCTAATTTTATATTTGTATCTAATATAGTTTTTTATAAATAAAATTGTTTAAATACGTTTAATATACATTGAGTTTATACATTACAAATAAACAAATCTCTCCGCTTATTTTTCGCTGTAATTTAAACAAAATAATTCACAATCTATTAGTTACCTAAGTACTTATTAACTCCCAATATATTCAGTATCCTTAAGTACCAATATATGATATCGACGCAGTATATAACTCTACCGACGTCCATAGAGCTGGCCCTTAACCTGAGGGTGAGGCCGACCAGAAAAAATATAATGAATCCTGCATCATATGTATTCCACATATTCCAGGCCCACACACTGAACTTATGTCTGAAATGGAAATTTATACTTTAGTGAATGTCAATCTATACATATAAATAAAATTGGAGTGTCTGTTTGTAATATTGAAATAACCGTTTTTTACTACATGCATATGAATATACATACGGTACATATACCAAAGTAACAATTTTTATAATTTTTGTCTGTCTGTCTGTCGTTCTGTTTGTTCCGGCTAATCTCTGAAATGGCTGGAGCGATTTTTTTTTGCCAGGCAGCTGATGTAATAAGGAGTAACTTAGGCTGCTTTTATTTTACAAAATAAAGTTAAATTCCACGCGGTCGAAGTCGCGGGAACAGCTAGTTGGCAATGTAAATGATAATACATAGTCCTGGCAGTTTTTATATTATAAACGCAGAAATATGTAATAATTGATGGATAATCCACATATATTTTTTACAGTTATTATTACTATTTTACGTGATTACTTCTGGATGGATTCTAATGAATTTTGGTATATGGATAGATCATGATTAAGGCTAGGTTGATAATACTATCACATAAATTGAAATAGAAACTGTTACATATGGGACGTGGGACACAAGTGAAATGGCAGCTGTCTAGCAATGTTGATTGCTGACTTATTTCTTGAATTACCACAGTACATGATGTATGCGTGGACGCAGCCACGTAAATCTATACCTATATAATAGAAATCAAGTTAAAGATTAAAGTATTTCTTAAACCAAGTTAAATTAATATACGGGTGGTCACGCAGACTTTCGTACTTTCTATATGTACTCTACTATTCTAATTTGTCTTAACATCTCTCTCCTTTGATATCACAGAAGCTATTTAATAATATCACACTCTCTGCTGTAGTACTTCATCATTTTAATAAATAACAAATCATTATTTTAATATATATTGACCCCAAGTGCTGTAAAACCAAAGATACAACAACATACGATATTGTATAACAGCGGAGACTGAATTTCTGGGTTTTATTTATTTTAATCAAATTCAGAAAATTATACACTAGTATTATATTTCTTAGCTGTGACCCAGTTGCATGAATTTGCAATAAGGAGGATCACAAGGAGTATGTTGGGCTAAAACTTATTACTATTTCGAATAGCCATTGGGGAGTTATATCTCGTAGTTTAACTTCTATGAGTACTTCTACTAGTAAAGTAAGGGGAACTATTAATAAATTTCTCTATTATCAAGTTAGGAGACGTTAATTAATTTCTATTTATAAATAATTCTTTTTTATTACAAATATAATAAAATATAATACATATATCATATATATGAAAAATCCAAAACCAAAATAGTGTCTAAATAAAACAATAGAATATTTTGTAACATTATTTAAAGTATCAGTGAGTAGTCAAATTATTTTTTAGAAAGTGGCACAGGCTGTATGATCTAGTATCCTTTGCCCGTCTATATATTAAAGTAAAAATTAAGAATGTATCAATTACAATTAATTTGCAAATAAATTTAATTAAATAAAAACTATTATATCCATGTATTAAGCAGCATACTATAAAAATATGCATGTAATTTAAATCGATTTATTTGGCAATTGCATGGTAATAAATTAATTCATAGATAATGTGTATCTAAATGAATAATTATAATTTATGGATTTTCAGGTCACTTTTTAGGTTGGCGACTGAGTAGAAGTCCTAACCAAATAGGAAATAGTATTGTATGTTATAAGGTTTATAATATATAGATATAACTTATAATAATACATATAAACAACATATATACTGTATAATTACTTATTTTTATATATTGTGCTATAACTTACCTAATAGCAACTGGTTCGGACGTAATAATTTCTCTTACTTTCTCACATAAGAACGTTAATATATAACATATGGAATATATTTCTGGCCAAGATGGCGTCGGCGCCATCTTAACTAATACTGTATATGTAAACATCAATAGGAACAATATATAGGCAATCTGAAATAAAAATAACAAAAAAGTCATAATTCAGCAAGTTTCAATAGACGTTACAATATTCTAATAACAGTTTATTTTATTAAGAAAAATATTGCGTAGTGTAATATAGGTATATGAGTACCTAAGTTAGCGATTTCATTTTATACATGTAATGTCCCTACACTTTTAACGCAATATGACTCATTTGTTAAATCTGAATATTACGTGAACCAAAAAACTTTGAACACCTTTTTACGCAAATTATATTAAGGAGTATATTTCGTACACTATGGTTTACACAGAGGAGTGTATAATACTAATAGTTTTTTAAACTTATACATAAAAAACATTATATACACTACCATGTATTTGAAACATACGCATATATACTTTTTTGTTTATTTTTAAAGTATGTGTCAAATTGAGAATAGATTAATATTGTTTGTCTCTGATATTGTCGGTCAGTCATTAAGTCCGTAGCTTGGTCTGATTCATAATTATATTGTAGTATTCATCGACTAAATGAATGATCATAAAATATGACACATAAATACATATCCGTATCATTTCTATGGACACGGGCGTAACCTAATTTTTACGTCCCTCAATTATGTACATAAACACAAAAGATATGTATATACTTTATGAATAAAATGTTACATTTGCATACCTAAAATAACATATATAAGTACTCTAGATTCAAACTAAGCGTATTTAAATTTTTAACAAAGAAAACTCTTATATTTAAATTTTCTTTAGTTTTCTGGAAAGAATCGCTAGTTACCGAGAGCGCTGTTTGTGTAGGAACTGATCCATTACATATTCGTTCCTTTGTCTTTCATCTTTTAAGTATCTTCAGTTATTTTATTTTCAGTTCTTTTATTTTCATTTACTTTCAATCTGATGATTTTATTGTTAGTGCTCATATGTACGTAAATTCTGATAATTCTTATTTGCATTGAAAGAGTTTACTTCTTTTTCATATTAATTTATTCAAGATATAATTTGTTTTTTGTCCAAGACTATCCACTCCTTTCAGATCATTCCACTAGTTGGCGCAGGTTTATCTCAGAAGCAACAGTTTTACTACTATGAATATACTGGCCCGGTCTAGGATATATACTTCTTGGTGCTGTTTTCTTTAATACTAATTTGTTACTTATTTCTATACTCTTACGGAGTATTATCATATGCAGTGGAATAAATTGTATTCTTCGTCATCACACGAAATACGGTGAATATATGTGAACACAAATAATTAGTTTTTCAATAAAATGTCATTTTCTTTAGATATTCGACAAGATAACCAAGGGATTGTATTTTTTTAAATCAAAGGATGACCACGCCTGTCATAGAGTTTTATATATATAAATATTATAAATAATAATCGTTGTTCTACTCTAGTAGTTGCTCCGTTTACTTATCATAAACTGAGCAACGTACGTTTTAAAAATTTCTTCCGGAAGGTTTATATCATGTATTACCTAAGTAAGCATCCAACACACCTATGTTAAGCCGAGGGGGGTTAGTAGTTTTTGTAAGTAATTGTATTCAGGGTTGTTTACCCTGAATACAATTACATACAAAAACTACTAGATAGACTTGGTATGTTAAATATTGTTAAAGTAAAAACACATACTCAAATCGTGAGAATAAGAATATCGAACATTGTATAATATACATTTTTCTTTAATTTATAACACTATTGCACGAACATAGAAAGGATATTAAGAAAATTAAAACAATAAAATAAAACTAAGTACAAAAGGCCGTCTTATCGCAAATGCAATCTCTTCCACACAACTTTTGGAAAGAAAATATTTACAAAAAATAGCTCGCGCATGAGTGGAAATAAGTTTAAGATATTGTGTAAATTGAGCGAAATATAACGATACATGTTAAGTAAGTGCATCACACTTAAAGAACTTACAAACGAAGTTGCGTGAGTCAGTTAGTACCTTCATACATATGAATGTATGTAGAATATAATATACGTTAAATATACATAATCAAATATTACAATTTCTATTGTCGTCAATCACATCCATAAAACGTGAATAAGTTATTGATCGCTTAATAACAAAATGAGGACACAATCGTACGATAATAATTAATGTTTAACCACAGTGTAATACGTGTTCAATTATTGATTCATACAGACGGGATAATTTCTGTGGTTCATATCCATAATGCATTGTTTAATATATAATGCTTTTTGTGGTAACATATTTTTTTTTCAGTAGAGCATAATAAAGTAGTATGAAGTCAGGTAAAATATATCGTGGAAAATTCACCCGGAATTAACCACGTTGATTTCCAGGAGGTGTTTCTGACAAATACAATGTTAGCTAAGTATCGAAGGGAAGGGTTTTTACAATCCCGTTCATAGTTAACAATGCTTCTTAGGTGAGGACAAGGAGGGGTGTCCTCAAGGCTGGTATCTCTGATGAGGGAGTAATAAGCATTGTTAACTGTCAACGATGTGTTGTCATGTCAAAATGCAACACTTGAAACGTAACGTTGTGGTAAACATTTCGGCGAGACATAACAACAATATTCTCGGTGAAATGTGTTCTCGGTTTTGTACTAATATTTTATAGCTAGCGCTCTAGTATTTCATATTTAATACCAAGAATACAAATATTTTATAACTATGTACGGGAATTTCATGAACTTACTATGTTTTATACTCAGTTTCGAGAAGACTCTCGGGTAAATATCTAATTGTTTCAGAAAGGCGAAATGATATGTCATTATGTTCCTGTATATATATGTCTTATATATAAAATTCTCGTGTCACAGTTTTCGTTCCCATACTCCTCCGAAACGGCTCGACCGATTCTCATGAAATTTTGTGAGCGTATTGAGTAGGTCTGAAAATCGGCCAACATCTATTTTTCATCCCCCTAAATGTTAGGGGTAGTCCACCCCTAAATTTTTTTTTTAGTATTTAGACAAAAATTTTCTATTTTTAAAGTTTCTATTTTTTTATGATACAACATACAAAAATACATACAATCCAAAATTTTCACCCTTCTATCATCAACCCCTATTTTTTTATAGCGTTATTAATTTATATGGCAAAACAACGTTTGCAGGGACAGCTAGTATATATATATATGCAGTTATAAAAGATTTGTATTCTCAATATTAATTATGGTGTATCAAAAATGATTGCGTATAGAAGAAGTAAGTCAAGAAATAGACACACGAAAAAAGCAACTATTCTTTATTTATATTTCGTGTTTATACTTATACTCATATAATTATATTTTAGCATGTGGCAAGACTGTATATCTAACTGATATACAGACTATATCATAGTAAGTGTAAATACATACATAAGACAGAGAATCACAACCATCGTAAGTAAGGCGGTATGCCAAATCATTAGACCTACTGAGATCAACAATTAATTTTTATACAAATAGATTTATAGATTTAAAGAAAGTAAGTTTAGGGGTCATGTCTAAAACTAAACTAAACTAAATATATGATCACATTAGTACAATGCACTAGTCCGTCAATAATACGCCCTCAGCACCAGAGACCTATTAAACTAGGCGGATTATAGAAAGCAATTCCTATTATAGGACGTGTAGTATTTACTCTCAGTTGACATTTTCCAGGCATGGAATACAGCGCGGGATTGTTCATGGAATAATTTAAACAGGCGCCAGTGAGCGATCCTATATAGTCCCTGAATTGCATTCCGGTGTTTATGTTACGCTATTGCAGTTCCAATCTGGCGTGTAGTTATTGAAAATTCATTTTGAATCAATTTCCAATATATACAGTAGATATTAACGAACATTTTATATTTGTTGTTATAGTTAATTGTAGTAGGTATGTATATGCGGTTGTTGCAGTAGATGAATTTTTAGATATCATTTTATCATCTAGATATAAAAAATATTAATACTGTAAAGTTGGTATATTTCGTTATATGTGACATTTATATTGTTATATACAAATATTGTACGTACGTATATACTATAATCTTGGTCTACTCGAAAATTACGGAATTAATATTATTGCAATTACTGAATTTTTTCTCAGTATAATTTTAACTACAGAAATATTAGTTTCGAAACTTTCACTGCCATTACAAATAAAAGCACATTTAAATATTTATGGAGTCGAGTGTTAAATTATTCAACAGCAGAGTCACGTATGCGCCATATATCATCATTGTACATTTATGCTATTATACCTGTGAAATAATGTATAAAAATGAATATAAAAATAAAAAAAAAAAAGCATTTCGTTTTGGTAAATACGCATCGCAGATTAAAACACTGTGATTAATGGGAGTATGGTAATTAATATTATTTGCTATAATGCGACGGTCCCATTGGAGACTCGTTTGAACGTAAAATATTAATATTTAATTTGCTTTAAATACACATCTAAAAGATAAGAGGCGACATAATTAATATTCTGTTTCATTAGTTCGCAAGCAAATAGATTTGGGAAGATTTATTGCCTCGTATTATAAATAACAATGACAGAGGTCTTTGTCAAAGGTCAATTTGTGACTAAGCTGAAAAATGGGATAATGTAGCCGTGATGAAGCATTCTGGGACTGACTCTCTGTAGCCAGTAGATATAATACAGATGTAGAGGACACATTGACAATTCGAGATTTAAATAGAGATAGAAAGTACAAAATTATATTTCTCATATTATTTTACGTTTTGTATAAACTAGTCTAACTATAGTATAGCTCCAAAGAAATGGCTAAAAAGGAGAAATAGCTACAAGAGATCTTTTATGACGAAGAGTTGTACAAAAAAATTTTGTCTAATACATAACATAATTAAAATACACAAATATACAATGTTGCATAAACTAATAAATATAATATAATCTCATAACAACTAAATTTATAAATACTAAAATGAAAACAAGTTAAAACTTAAATTTTGATTTAATTTAAAATAAATTCTAATTACGTATAATAAATAACAGGTTTTGCTGTGACAAAATAGCAACGAAAACTAAATCATAAACTACATGTGAGGTATTCGTTCGTTATTTCCGAAGTTTTGATTACACAGAAATGTAGTCTGTTTTTAGTTTGTTCATAACAGCTTACTGAACTGTATTACAGTTTGTCTGAGTACAAATTTATACTTTATTTCTAGAATTCTAAAGTTGTGTCTTACATAGCTTATAGCTGATATCTACAGTAATATCCAACTTCTATATGTTCTTACTAAAAGGAATAGCGTTCTTTGATTAACCGACTACTTGTATTAACATATAAGGAATTTATAATGTACTGTTTTCTCAGAATGATTACATTTACATTCATATATATGTGTAGTCATTACATTATACATGTGAAAATTAGTCTGTTTGTGTAATATCTGTTACACACAATATACACCTATTGGATGTAGAGTATTAACGCGAAATCAAATAGATACATTTTTAAAGAAGATAGTTTTTAATAAATTGATCCTATCGACCGTAGGTACGGAAAATTTGAAAGTAGATTAATTGAAATAATATATTCATTTATAATAGGTAGAATTAGTGATTTTTATGCATAGACGGTAGCTTTGATGTATTATGGGAAAAAGGAAAAATTAAACCTATCTTTTTTGAACGCCATACCATACCATGTGTATAAGTAGGTATATACTCGTATAAGAGAGATTATTTATAAATTCACATTTCTATTATACACACATTTCTTTAATCTTCATTTTTATTAAATTGCATTTTATCAGACTACACACATAAATACTAATGAAAATCTTGAATTCATTTAGTTTAAAAGGAATTTATATATTTCGATACGTTTTGATGTTTATCTTCCAATTTTGTCAGAGATTCTATGGATATTACTATAAAAGAAGTTATAAACTTTTATTCGGTAAAGTGTCTGTGAGTGGTGTTTGTGCTGTATATAAAGCGTGTATATACTCACAGAATCAGCCCAAAACTTGGTGATCGGTGCCGTAAAGAACTCATAAATTTTCTTCCTAAGCCGCAGGGGTCTCATCCTCTTGTCTTCCGGCGCGTGATATTCCGGCAACTCTCTGTACGAGGGCTCCCACCCTATTTTACCAACTTTCCCATTCTGATCGACACGAGTTTCACATTCGGCCCCTGAGCCAATCAACGCCTGCTTGAGTCCAGAGACATAAACATTACAACCAATATGATCACACCGTAGATAACATAATAAAAAATTTCCATTTATAAGAAAACAAGAACATTCACTATTACATTAATAAGCTCAGATTGCAGTCGACGTCAAAATTGTAAGAACTTGTGAAAATATTGCAGATTACTCAGTAAACTATTAGTACAGTAGTAAGTAATTAGTAGTAGGTGATTAGTAGTACTATACAGATAAAAATATGGAAGTAAATGTAGAAAGCGTACTATTAAAGCCAATTGGTAAATTAGACACAATATGCACGATTATATCATATCCGATAAAAGCAATAAACATCACAAGATCGCTAATAAAATATCTGTGAAATTACTTCAGAAATGCAGAATGTGGGAAAAGATTTCAATAAAGACAACAGAAAACAATTTGAAAGTTTCATAAGAGAAAGCGTCGCACGAAACGGCGTAAAATTTTATTGCAACGCCAGGAAAATAGTTCCACATCAATTTGTAGATTGTAACGAGTCTACACTACTATATCAGTACAAAATTGAAATGTCACCGTCAATGCTCATGATCCACCTTAGGCTTTGTGTAATTCAAAATAATAAATTACTTAGTATCATTGTTCTTTTTATGGTATCATGAAATTTGTAAGTACTTAATGTAACAATAACTGTTAAGTGTATTGTCATAATAATAATATCTTAAATTTTTATTGAGCACTGAATATATTTTTATGTACTCAAGAAAACGATGCTTTACACTAGAGTGCTTATTCTGAAGGTGAGCCATAAACAGATGACGTGGCTCGTAAAGGGCCGAGAGAAGATAGTAAAGAGGTGAACTGAGAGACTGAACGTACATGAAAATGCCACGAAAGCCTACTTTCACGCAAAGCTATAGACGAATCGATTTTATAACAGGTGGCATCAGTGTATGCCAACAACGTAATACGAACACATTACGGCTTAGATTTACCGAGTGCATTTGGCATATAATAGTATTATACATGTTGTATATAATTGTATTTAGCTATTGTAATTTTTACTTCTTCATTTCATAAATCACTTTAATTTACCTTCATAGATTAATCTTGTGACGGATGACATAATATATTTTGTGTCTTAAATACATCTAATATGGAAGATAATTACGCGGCATTATCACGAATTTTTCCTTAATAGAATATAAATAATCTTCATTCAAATAAACTAAATATAAGCACTTTTGAATATAATTCAATTTAAATACATAATTTGTTTCATCAAACATATCTTGCGATGTGATTTTGTTCATCATGAGAGTTTAAGCTTACTGTTTATTTGTTTAAGTTCTGACGTAAATCTTGGTTTGCACAGATTAATTCGAGAACTTAGTAAACGAGTCATTTTCTGTGATTCTTACTATTGAACACCAACAAAAACATTACAGGTCGACCGAATATTTTAAAGCATGTGAATTTCTTTTACACTAATTTCGATTTCTTGTTAACATACATCTGTGTATTTAGTTAGTGAACATTTTCTATATGATTAAAAGAAGCCAAGTGTCTGGGAAATTGTCATCAGTGACTAGATTTTGGCAGTTTTTAATCAAATAGACACTTCTAACGTGCACTGTGTTCGTATCACACGAGACCATGACAAGTCGATAGACGTCTACCTTTGGTGTTTTACTCTGTTGCCCCGGAGGTATTATCTTCTTGATAGAAAGCGTGCGCCTTTTCACAACGCCAACCTATATTGTGGAATTATATAAATTCCTTGATATTTATTATTCAGGTTCTCTTAGATTCTATTTTATATTCATCAATCTTTTTAGATACAATCATGTAACACATATGAAAGCAACTGATTAAATTGATAAAAACATGTCATTTTTATTTAGTTATTATGTATCATGAAGGCAATAAAAAAGTGAATATTTCTATGGCAAAAGCATATTCTTTTATTATCCCCCATCACCTGTTAATATTAATCGTGTATGTATATATATACAATAATTTAGGAGATTCAAAGATACTTTGAAAGCAAGTAAGCATCTAAACACGTAACTTTACCTCGACATCGTTGGGATCCTTGGTGCTTCTGTCGTCCTCCATGCTCTCATTTTCGAAGTGCTCTTCCTCAGTCTGGGGCATCAGCTGCAACTCCTCCTTCGACTTGAACTCCAGTTGGAGAATGTAGAGTGGACACAGCAGGCTCAGAATTACCTTGACATCACGACAAAGCCGATGTGGCAAAGGAACTGCTCGGTCGACGCTTAGTATCACTTTGACTTAAGCGTTTCATGCCACGTTTAACTAATTGACAGGGGTGGGACGTCGTTTACGCGGAAGTGAGACAGCCAAGATTTAAAGTAAATTAGCGTAAATGATAAATAGGAATAATATTATATAGTAAGAAGACCGAAATATAAAGGATGGTTTAAAAGATGTGGAAAATATATTGTTATAATCGTTTCAGTTACGCCTTCGATTTCTCTTATACTTTCATACATTGATGCAAAACAAAAGATAAACGAAATGAAACATAAAACGAGCAATGGGATTTGAAGGGACACAAAATTTACATAGCACGTAAGCTTAGGTCATAGTCATTTCTATCTTAACTGTACATAATTCTAATTTTATTATTTATTCTTGGCCTTCATTTGCATAATCGGCGTCATTAATGCATTGCATGCAATTTTCAATTTATAAAGCGTCTCATTGATTCACAGACATCAAATATAATTTAATTTACTCATTAAAGTTTATAGTTAAAATGTTATTATCTAAACCGTGACCTCCGCTTTGTGAAATTGCCAGTTCTTAATATTACAATTGAAAATATTACAAAAATATTTAATGAAATTGTTTCGAAATTTATTACGTTACATAATGAACTATGGATGGCAAATTCAAGGCAAATGGAGGATCACGCTAACATTGAATCTACAATGCTCGTGCCTTTTATAAGTCTGTGCACTGACAAGACGAAAAAAGAGAATGAAATCTATAGAAAGATATACATATATTTTTACCTTTAGATTGGTGTTCTTTCTAGTTCTGAGTCCGCCCATCCAGAGGTCGGCTAGTATAATTTGCGAGCAGGGATGAGCTAATAAAGCCCGATGGTTCGCCGCTACTGCTAGACTCAAGCACGTTTGTCCAGACCAGTTTTGAAGTTCACAAGTCAGAAGTTGCTGTGCTTGATCGTCATCTTGACGGTAACAGTAATCTAACAACTCTAATGCTGCAATAATGAAAGTTCTTACATGTTTCTTATTGGTTAGTGAAAGAAGATGATGTACTTTGTTCTTTGAATTTCCTAAAACCTTAAAAAAAAGTACCTTATTTGCTGAAATAACTCCTTGATTTCATGTTAATTATTGAACCGCTACTTACAAGCCTATTTCATTAATGTCAATTTCTATGCAAATTATACTGGCAAATTTAGGGATTTTGTATCATTTCAAGGAACAATGCAGAGCTTTCCTTTTGATGAGTAAATATGTACTGTAATAATTGCTAACTTAAAATCCAACAGTGTACAGCATTGCGGAAACTGATCCAAAGTTTTGTAGCTTATAACTATACAAGTTCACTAGCTGATATAAATGCTATATTCTTTATATATTGTATATTCTTCTTTACTATGTATGTCAAGCATATTGACTAATTAAAATATTTTCTAATTTTAATGTTTATTCTTATTATAATATATAGTATAGTTTGGTGTTATTTTTTCATATAAAATTGAAATTCAATTATATTTGCAGGCTCTATAGGAAGCCAATGGTAAAACACGTTTAATATTAGCAAAATGTTTCAAGAAGTTTTAAACTAATATTGTATTGATTTTTCTATATCCTAAAAATCATAATGTTTGTTATAAGTGATCCAATTTAAGAATTCTCTTTATTGTTATGAAAAGAAGGAAAATGCTGAATTAGATTTTCTTCATAATGTATAAAATTCTATTATGTTTATACTTTTCGAAATGGATTATCTATCCACATATAAAGTTTTTTAGTTAGATAAGATATAAAATCATAATAAAGTATTACATATTGTATTTTGAATTTTGTAAAAACTACTTACGTGAAAATTAAAATTTGAACAATTTTCTTTCTCAATTCTATGTATATTATAAGAACAACATTATCAATCTTATTTTACATTAAAAGTGAGATGGGCTAAACAAATTGCTCATAAACCGAAATGTAATAAAGTTTGTGTTTACTGCCAATGTTTAATTGTTAAATGTTGGAGTCGTAAAACTTTTTGCTTTTAAAATGTTTCTAAAATAATTGTTATCACCTTTTGTTTCGAATTCTTTTCCATAATGTCTTAACTCTTCATAAACCTCTGTTTCCATATCATCTTCAGCAGCTTCATGAGCCATGGCTTTGTATAATTTGCATGCAACTAAAGACTTAGCCAGCGCTTCTTCGCCATGAGTCCACATTAGCAGCGCCATTTGATGTCTTTTTGTTAGTACTGCCCACATCTATATTGTAAAATACAGTTATAAATAATTCACTATTGTGTTTATAGTCGTTGTGTAAACTTATTGTCTGTCAGTCTTTGAGAAAGGGCTCACCTATAAAAAGTTAGTAATCATCTGCTGTAGCTAATATTGCTGGATATTACTTTCGAAACAAAAAATCAGAAATGCCTAACAATTCAATAAATATTGACATTCTGGACACGTAAGGGAAAAAGTAACGAGCATAACTCAACACTTCGCATGTTTTCAACATGGATCCGTATATCACTCGTCTAGTGCATGGCAGAGATAGATCCGTTAGCAAAATATCTGGTAAATGCTGGTTTAGTTACATATTTTGCAGTCGGTGCCAGATATAGGTACGGATTCATGTGATATGTATAAATGGCCAAATATACCACAAAATAAAAAAAAAATATTGGTATTAAAGATACTTCTTACACACACTACTGGAAACGAGAAATCAAAAATTTGTTTTTTCTAAAGAAATCATATTTTTTAAGGTAGATTCCTTTTCGGACTGCTCTACTGTTATTTGCTGCAGTTGGTCTTTACAGCTTAACCGGACGATAGAGGTCGAGTGCAGATGGCAATCCAAACCCGCGGAAGGACTGACGAAGAGGCTGAAGGTCAACTCCCGCCTGATGGATACGATTTTAGTCTGAGGGTTTGAACTTGGGCTCAGGCCGCGCAATTTCGATTCCAGTTTGAATTGTACGGCGGATCAATCGGAGAGGTTTAAGGCAATGTACGTGTTATACATATACATGAAATTATAATATATCAATTTTAATATCCAACTTATCTGTTACAAGCATAGACAGGTATGATGTATGACTATAATTCAGACACTCACCAATAACTCATTGAATGGATAATCAAAGAGCGCCATTTCAGTGGTGACGGGCATAAACCCTGTAATGAGGGAGAGGCCCCCGGCATTATGGCGAGTGAACGATGCACTGTTGCGGTGTACGTTGACACTTTTATTCATCACTTTAGCGTAGATCGGACGGAACTTGCGGCGAGTGTAGTAGCACCTTTACAAATTAATTACATTAGGTATCAGTTACAGGCCTCGGTGGTTAGGCGGTTTAGCACATCTCTTTATTACCGATAGTCGCGGGTCAGTTTCCTCAAATGATGCAAACATTTTCATTCATGAGTGTGATTGTTCGCATGGTCTGGGTGTAATCTATGTATGAATTAAAAAAAAACTGTATCTAAGTATATATATATATATATCTGTATCTATATCTATATATATATATTAAATGTCAAGTATCCATATATCAATAGAAATTAAATTCCGCTGTAAATTCCGCTGAACTATTCTGGTATATCATTAATATCATTTAGGTATTATATTTTTCATGAAAATATGAGTTTCGGAAAAACGTACCACTTTACTAAGTTGTATCAATATTTTACACTTATTATACTCATATGTAATATACTGAAATCCTAGATTAATAAAATACATTGTCAACAGATATTGTTGTGGTAAATGCAAAAAGAGAAGCCCATATTTCATACGACTAAGGGTGAACCTACAGGTATTATTCAGTTGAATTAGAATTATTATTACTAATAAACTATAAATATTTATTAATAATATAAAGATTGAAAAATTCGCTATAAAATTATGTTAGGTGCCTACGGTATTTTTTTTTAATATCAAAGAAGCAATTTTACCTGATGGAAAACAGAGTGGAAGCGTAAAATATTTATACTGTACTTATTTTGCTTTAAATTATACCTACTATAAATACTGAGAAAACAGATGTCGAACTATGGGCCCCATCAACATGCTCAGAGTCACTCAGAGGGCAATGGAGAGGGCTATGCTCGGAGTTACTCTGTGTGATCGAATCAGAAATGAGGAGATCCGCAGAAGAACCAGAGTGACCGACATAGCCCGAAAAATTGCGACTTTGAAGTGGCAATGGGCAGGGCACATAGAGGGACAGATGGCCGTTGGGGCAGTAAAGTCCTCGAGTGGCGACCACGGACCGGAAGACGCAGCGTGGGAAGGCCTCCAGCAAGGTGGACCGACGATCTGGTAAAGATCGCTGGAAGGCATTGGATGCAAGCAGCGCAGGACCGATCGTCGTGGAAATCTTTGGGGGAGGCCTATGTCCAGCAGTGGACGTCTTCCGTGCTGCGATGATATTGATGATGATGAATATCGGAAAGTAAGTAATACAAAAAAAATACAGTTAATGAAATGAATTCATTCGAAATATCAAGTACATTCTTGAATATTGGTAAACTGAGATTAAATTCTCAGAAGAGATGCTAGTTTTCTAAACCGCAACTGAGGCTAAAGTTTAGAACTAGGAAATGTACATTAATATTTAGACAGTTCTAGACAAGTTTGGTTTAGTTCAGCGTGCTTGGGATAACACGGCTTACGTAGATAACAACGCTTAAATTACTAAATTTCGCCAATATTCAGGCAAAACTACTCAGATTGAATAGAAATGAGTTTCAGCAAATAAGTTAGGACAAATGGACAATGAGACATAAATTAATGCTTAAAATTTTAGTTACCTTATCTGTTAGGGCTTAAAATACACCTATGAGCGCCGTACAAAGCAAGTATTAAATCGACCTGTTTCGAACTCATGGTCTTTTGGATTACGTCATGGTATTAGACCATTGAGTCATGACGTACTCAAAAATTCAAATTTCTAGTTTGCAAATAGTAGTATATATACGTATAAATAAAGACACATGTATGTTAGTTAATATATTGTATTTGTGCATTAAAGTTTTTATAAATAAGTATGTACGACAACTTACATAAAGTTGAACAAGGGAGTTTGTTAAAACTTCTTCGACTAGAAAATGTGTTGACAGTCTGCAAACGTTTTAACTGATCTTTATAAATTGTAGGTAAGCTACCTTTTTCACTTCAAGCGTAAAACAAAAAATAGAGGTAGACACTATCTACCAGTCTCCTATCATATCACAGACAAACCTACAGTAAATCTAAGCATGTATTAACATGGAATATGTCTGACACACGTAATATTAGATTAATAAAATTAATTTAATTTTCGATAATAACATTTTTATCTAGGATTAATATCTAAGCATCACTCACCTATAGGCACCTCCCATGAGTTTATTGATCACCAAGCCGATATCATGCAGGGTGTACACGTAACCCCTAGGCAGATGGGGTCTGACATCCCTTAAGATGTACCTCAGGGTATTGCTGGGTCCACTCTTGGTGTTGTAGAGCTCTTCTAATCGAGGTATCGTAAGGAACTTTCTCATTGATACACCATTCTCTAGAAGTAGTTTGACGAAGTCTATTCGATCGTGTTCCAGAGCCTGCATCATTGCTTCATCGAGAGCACCTGTATCAACATACACATTGAGTTATAATATGTCATCATCATCATTTTCTTTTTCTTATAATTTGGGTTCGGCGTAGAATATTTTATTCTTTCAATCATTCGTCATTCACTGCCTTTCTTGACACATCATCTTTCACACACATGTACAAAAGAGAAAAAAAATATTCAAATAAACTTATTATATAGTCTTTTGAATACTCATATTTTTATAGGACATCTTTGTTAACATATGTAACATTTTGTGGCACATACATTTACAAGGGCGAGTTCTTCAGACCCTGTACCATGAGACTTACTCTGTAACTAATTCCGACTCAATGATAAATAGAAAGGGCCGTATTGTACCTTCTTATACGCATATTAAATCCCTATTTCCTAGTCTACAAAAAACTAACTGTCATTGTATAGATTTATTTAGTGTGATCGAAAGTACTGTAAAAAAATGAATTTGATTGAACACTTAGATTGTGGAAAGAGCTACCTGCCTTAGTTTCTCAAGACACTATTGCAAGGGGTTTTTCAAAAAGGGTATATGTGGGTAATTGTCAGATTTTTAAGGGTCAGCAACGCGCACGTTACGCTCCTGGAGTTTCCAGCGTCCATAGGCTATAGTAATCATTTACCATCAGATGGGCTGTATGCTTGTTTAACACTATTGTAGTACATATGAACAAAAACGATATTGAGATTAATCTGCAGAGATAGTAAATGTAAAGATTCTCAGTATTTGTACACATTATATTTGGTCGTAAAATTGAATTGAACTGAAAGTAAATATCTATTTGAATACTATATATATATTGGATACTATGTAAATACTATATATTTAAGACTTCCATTAAGTTAATAATATCATTTTGTTGTGTATATTTTACACCATAATTATATAGATATTACACTGAAATTGGCTTGTCACAAATATTGAATTTGTGGATGTTTACAAATGGTTTCCTTATGTACTAACGATCGTAGCGTATAATTACTAGACTGTGATTATATCTGGTGGATAACCACCAAACCACTCTTGGTTTGGTGGTTATAATATATATTGGTTATTGTGGTTTGTATCGTGTATTAATATAAATATACATACTATCATATATGAATGAATAAGTAATCATTCATGGTCTTTAGGAAATGTCATGCTGTATATTTAAGACCACGTGCAGTTTCGCTTCTGTAAATGTAATTGCAAACGAGTTGCCATCATCTTATACCATCAGGTGGGTCCTGGTGGTAAGTGCTACCCATCTCCAATAGGGGAAGGCTATTGTTAGTAATGTAACCCAAATGTACCGGACTCTAACCTGTAATTAATATCTCCACGAGGTTTCCTCTGGAAAACATTTACTGAATTTGCCACGACGGGCTAACTGACCTGACCTCACGTTCATCTTATTATCCTCCACTGGAGTCCCGCAAAGATAAACCGTAAACCCTAAACGCAATCTTGTGCACCAAACCATTATCATCCGGGGGGAATGGCGATGGAATGGTTGAAAACACCCAGACCGATACAAATAATCATATTTACGAATACAAATATACCACGAGGAATCGAACCCGCGATCATCGGAAGTAAAACGGTGTGCTAAATTACTAGACCACCGAGGCTTTCAATAAATGGGATGTGAAATAGAATTTCATTCCTAATGTACGGTGCGGTTACCATAGGGAAAGCGCAAAATAATGACTAAACATATATTTCCAACAAACCCGTCCTGTTTAACAATAAATACACAAAACCGCTTGTGGCATACACAAATAATGTTTATAACAGGAAACTAGGTCGCAGCCGGGCCGAAAAAATGGCAATTTACAACATACAATGTCTACGGTAACGTAGAAGTACCGGCTACTAAACATTAAAATGGATATAAAAATTTAGATGTGTAGTGTAGTGACGCTGTGTGATGAACGTAGATGAAGCCACGATGGATGTGGCTTTCTGTACAAAGTTAATTAAATAATCAATTTTATTTGTTAGAATAATAATTGATTAAATAAATATCGTTTTTTTAAACTTCTTTTATTGTGTCAATGGCAACTTTATTATATTTATACCAGAACATAGCAATTTTTATGGCACTTACTCCTTGTTCAATTTTATTGAATAATATATAGTAGGTATATTTTTCATTATCAATTAAATTACCACAACCCTAATTTTTGAGTCCCTTGGCTTGGCTTTGTTTTTAATATATTTTTTCTTTCAAACGCCACTTACTCGTCTCAATTTAGACTACATGGATGAAAAAATTAGTTAAAATATACGTTTGCGAAACAAACGATTATCAAAATATCTATTTTATTTAATAATAATAGTATTTTTACATAAGAGCAAAAAAACGTGCGTATTGCTCTTTTAAAGAAATTTTTATCATTGTCAATAAGTCCAAAGGTTCAGGCTTCAGAGTGAAGCCGGGGTCACTCTGGTGCCTATACATGTATGAGTTTTGTGTATATTAACATAATATAATATACCCTTAAAATAGTAATTTTATTAAATCGGTTATTAATTTTATGTGTTCGTAATTAACAAACTTTGCAACTATCTTTTCTCACCACTTTTTTGTGACAGAAGTAAATTTCCCAATGTATAGATTCTGGTGACATTTTCAGCTAAGCAAAATCTTAAAAGCGCCGTTGACGTTTTATTACAACATTAGTTTTCTCGAGCCAATCGCGGGACCCACACCCTCTTATTTATTTATGATTGCCAGTACAGCTGCCCCGCTAGTGAAATACAGTGACTATTACGTCTCCCTCTCAATTTATTCGAGATCATTCGACGAAATCGACTGAAAACTGACTCGTGGCGTGAATAATGTTCTCCACTCTTAGTTCGATTTCACGCACGTTTTCAAATATCTTAAACAAGAAGCTTGAAGTTTAGTAAATTACGTACCCGTGATATTCAGAATAAGTACTTTATTATTATTTTATTTATAAACCGCTTCGATTTACATAAGCAATAATTTAAAGTAAAGCTTCAGTTTAATAAATAAACAAAATAGTAAGCATAGAAGTATATGGTAGTGTGTGTAATATTTAATTAATTGACTTAATGTACTTTTTAAGCACAATTAAGAAAAAATATTATCAGTCTGCACTCCTTCTTTATATAAACTATGAGTGTGTGAAATTTTATACTCCTATATCCAATTTTCGTAAAAAGGGTTTCAATGTTATTACTTCACGTATTGATATATATAGAATATCAATAAAAAATATATATGTATATATAATGCTTATATTCACTACTAAATTCTGTCGGAAACAATTTCACATTATGTTTGTACATTGTTAGTTTACTAGACGTTTTGACATTTCAACATTAGAGACTCTGTTTTCATTCGTTACTTTCCTTTTAACCTGTTACAGTTGAAATATTAAACTTTACAACGTATGCATTATAGTAATCTTTATTCATATATACTGTTTCTCAAAAGGCACAATTCTGTAGTGAAAAGTAAGAAAAACAAATTATAGGATCAAACATAATAGGGGGCCAGCTTATGGCCGTTTCGCGGCGTCTTCTGGCTTAGTTCCGGTGTTTCCTTCACCGGAGACTCAGTCAGAAATATAAAATGACACGCATTGTTTTTCCAGTGGCGGCCATAATTGAACTCGCGACCTTTTACCCGTATTCCAGTGCGTCTTCCCAACTGTAGTCGGAAGCGGGGGAACTAGCAAGAGTAGTCGAGAAGGGTCCGCTTACGGGTAGCAGCTGGAGTCTGGGTCGATTGTGAATACGACTGGCGGCGGGAGGGATTGCCTTTTTTTTCGGACTACTCTAATGCTGTCGGTTGCAGCTGGCCTTTACAGCTTCACCAGACGATAAGGGCGAGTGCAGATGGCGATCCGAACTCGCGGAAGGACTTATGGAGCGGCTGAAGGACAACTACCGCCTGACGGATACGACTTTAGTCTGAGGGCACCGCTAGGGGCTTGAACCTCGTAATTCCCCGTTTGAATTGGACGATTTAGACGAGAGGTTTAAACCTCTCCGATCGAGCCACCGTCCAATTCAAACTTCCGACTCCTAGAAGTTCAAACCCCTAGAGGTGCCCCCCTAGGGGTTTGAAGCTCGGCTCAGGTAGTCGTAACTTCACGGGGGATTTTTGAATTGGACGGGGGATCGATCGGAGGGGAGGAGGACTGACATGGGGTTTTTAGAGAGTAGGAGTCTCACAGTACCCGCCCGTCCGTCTAACCCCTGTGACGAACGGAACTCCAGGAGGGATTTTCCCCACGTAAAAAGGCTCACCTAAACACTAGTCCACGACGCTCTCTAACAAACTAATATAATTACATGTCATTTAATTTGATCGAAAACTGTCTCATATTTCTTTTAACGAGTTTCCCATCGATCATTCTTAATGATAGATTAACACAGTATTGGTCGAATGATGTTTTTGTTTGTGTTCGCGCCGGGTAAGATTGCCGCGATCAACCAAGTTCGGAGAGTACTGTAATTAATATAGAAACTTTTGATGGTGAAGTTACTCGAATTGTTTTTTTATACTTAGTGATACGTACATATATTCTCTTGCTATATATAGACGTTGTGGGCGATTGAATGAGTGGAGTGTATGTATGAGATAAATGAAACAACGGATAAAATAATGGTAAATACTTGTAATGTAGGTACGAACAGTAACAGTGTAAAAATTATAATAAAATATATGACAGTTCTAAAAACTGAAAGAAAAATACATTGAAAATTGTTACTTTTATTTAAGTTACGTTATTGTATATAGTGTGTGAGTGTGTAAAAAATATTGGGCAACACACGTATGTGTACATTTACTATTTTGCCCGTTGTGTCTTTAAAAAGAAATGGCGGTTGCTTTTTATTGTTAAACCTTTGTTAAATGTACTTCACAAATAAAGAATTTGAACTATGTACTTGTTCCCCGATGTAGTACACAGAATTGCTTTACCCGTTTATGCTTGTAGCTACTTCTTTGTAATTCTTATATGTAGCAATATTAAAA